GTCACTGCCAGCTTCCTCAGAACACTTCCGGGCGTGGCTCGTGGCCTGGGGAGCTGTCAGAGAAGAGCTGGCCCTTGCATTGTGCGGCAGATGGCAGTGGGACAAATGCTGTGGACAGCTCAGCCAGTGGTGGGATGGAACAGGCTGTCACTGGTCGTTGTAACTCTTCCTTTTCATGTCATCTTTGGTCCTCTTCTGCTGAGTAAAAGTGTTTTCACCTAACAAGCATAGACAGTAGGGGGTGCAGGGCTGGAAGTCTCGAATTCTGGTTTCTTGGCCTTGCTAAATGGTTTGCAAGTGGATGAGGGGGCAAAATTGACCCAACTCTTAGGTTTCCAAGAGGTGGTCATTGTCAGTAGTGTAACATGTCACTTCGTACTGTCTGTTCCCACTGGCTGGGAACTGGAAACTAAGAGCCTTTGACACTGAGCCTCCCTCTCAGCCTTTCTCACTCTGAGAGAGAGTGTTTTGCTCTGTCACCCAGGCTTGGTGCTAACTTGTGGGCCTCCTGCCTCAGCCCCCAGTAGAGCTGGGCTTAATGGGTACCAGCTCCTTTCCTAGCTTCTGTGCAAAAAGTGCCACATTCCATAACCTGTTGTTGGTCTACAAGCAGCTGTCCAGGGTTATAAGAAATGGCAGGAGGGCCAGGGATTTAGTTCAGCAGCACAAATGCCTGCTTGGCCAAGCACAAGGTTGTGAGTTTGATCCCGGGTGTCCCTCAAAAAAAAAAAAAAAGAAATGGCAGGTGTTCCAGTAGTCACAGAAGTCTTTATGAACCTCAACCATGGGTTATCTAGACTAGTTCCCGGGTAAGTAAGGAGCTGGGTGTGGTGGTGCACACTTGGTAATCCTAACATGTGGGAGGCTGAGGCAGGATGATCACTGGGATCTGAAGGCCATTGTGAGTTACATGGTGAGAGCCTGTTGTAAGGAACCAAACAGAGAGGAGCATGGTAATGGATTTATGGTGGGTCCGGCTGTGTGGGCCTTTCATAGTGTACCCATGCAAGAGAAAGCGCGGCCTCGAACCATTGCCTAGCCCCTGCTGTGGGCTGTGAGCACTGAAGCAGGCCCCACAGCTTATATGGAAAGGGCCAGGGTTGAAACCCTGGCTCTTCAAGCTCCAGGCAGCGAGTTCAGGGCCCACCTGGAACACATGGTGAATCTGTCCAGAAAAAGCAAAAGGGCATAGGATCTGGAAGTGGTCACACATACCTAGAATTCCACCCCCCTGGGAGGCCAAGGCAGTTGGGTTGCCATTTTAAGCCCAACTTGTGCAATTTAGCAGGATCCTGACTCAAAAACTTTAGGAAGGTTATTTTTATATTTGGATCTTTGAGTTGCGGCCCTGTCATGGGAAATGGTATGACAGAGTGCTTGAATCTGGGTTCCTCATCCTTTGATTTTGCAGTGTTTAATCTTGGGGGGGGGGACCAGAGATTGAATTTGCCATGCAGGCGCTTGTGTGGCTGAGTTAAATCCTGGGCCTGAGTTGTTTAATCTTGAAATACAGCTTGACACCTCTATGGCCAGGTGTGGTGCACACCAGTGTGATCCCAGCACTTGGGAGACTGAGGAAGGAGATTTCTCATGAAGTCAAGGCCAGCCTGGAGTACACATTGAGACCCTGTCTGAAAATAAATAATAGTAATGTGACCTATTTAAGCAAAACAAAAAAAAAAGTGCTAGGGGCAGCCCACTTGGGACCCCTTCTGTCTCAGGCAGGAGCTTTCTTTCTCTCAATAAATATATTTTGCTCTTAAAAAAGGCGCTTACTGGACATTGGTGGTGCACTCCTATAATCTCAGTACTGGGGTGCTGAGGCAGGAGGATCCTTGCAAGTTTGAGACCAGAGTGAGTTCAACACCAGCCTTACCTGCATAGTGAAACCCTGTCTCAAAAAGCGCCCCCCCCCCCAAAGTGCTAGTAACAGTTTCTTTTTTTACTATTTTTGGAAAGGGTCTTGCAATGTAGTTCAGGCTGGCCTTGAACTCAGCAATCTCCCTGCCTCAACCTCCCAAGGACTGGGATTGTAGATGTGCACCACCATGCCCAATTAGATGGGGCTGTTTTTCCCTGGTATATGCTGTGTGTTGATTGCTCCTTTTCTTGTCTTTTTCCTTTTTATCGGTACACTGCTGAGCTAAGTCCCCAGCCCCTCCTTTTTTTTCCTTTTTATAGCAACCTCTTGAAAAACCTTAGTCAGACCTGTTTTCGACGTCGTAACTTGATAACCACCAGAGGGAATGGGATAGCCTTTGCAATTAATAGCAAGTATGACACAGCAAATCCCATTGACACAAGGATTTTTTTTTTAACCTGGGACCTTGTGCTTGCCAGGCAGGCGCTTGTGCCACTGAGCTACAACCCTCACTGACTCGGATTTTGAACAAGAGGCTGCTGAACTAGGATGCGGGGAGGGAGGCCTAGGTGATGTCACTGGCCTAGAAGAAGGGACAGGCCACCTCCAGATCTTCAAAGTATATTTGATAACTTATTAATTGGATACTTCAGACAGCTTTTCCTCTCTGATTTGTCTTAGTTTGGGGTGGGAGGACAAAAGAAGAAGAAGAGATGGAAAGAGGTGTGGGAACAGTGAAGGTTGGTAAGCGTGGTGACTCCCACTGTAAGGGATCCTAGCACTCGGGGAGGTTGAGGCAGAAAGGTCTCAAGTTTGAGCCTAGCCTGGGCAACTTCAGTTAGCAAGGTCCTCACCCAGAAAGTGGGGTGGGTGATGTGAGCAGAATGTGGGAAGCACATGAGTGTCCCTGTCCCATCACTGTGGACTCACGTGACTCAGGGAGGGGCTGAAGCCACACGAGAGATCCTGTGTGGGACCTCGGGCTGAGGCGCTCCACCAGCAGTTAGGAGTTTTTGAGACTCAGCAAGTGAGCGCGTTACTGTTGGTACAGCCTGGCTCAGTAATGTGTCTTAAGCTCCAGCAAGTCCTAAAAGTGTGGCAGCTTTTCAGTGCGGTGTTCCTGTTTCGGGTTTTACTCTGTACTGGGTGAGATGCTGCCAGTGAGGAGTGTGGGGCCCAGAGCCCAGCTGTGGAAGGAACAGGTTCTGTGCTGTCTGCTCCCCATGCTCCTGGAAAATGCACCTTAGAACGGTGACCTTGGCTGCCCCGTACACCTGTGCTTTAAGGGAGAGAAGGGTGTGGCCAGGGTGGAAGCCCCTTTGCCTTTGTGCTGGGCCTGGGCCTGGGCTGACTGCTGTCTTTGTTCCCCCCAGTGCATCCGGCAGTGGTGATCCGACAGCGGAAGTCATACCGGAGAAAAGACGGGGTGTTCCTTTATTTTGAGGACAACGCAGGGGTCATAGTGAACAACAAAGGCGAGATGAAGGGTGAGCCAGGGGCCAGCAGCTCCAGGGTTGGACAGTCCCACTCGGTTGGCCTCTGACCTGTTCTCAACTTTCCCTCAGGTTCTGCCATCACGGGGCCAGTGGCGAAGGAGTGTGCAGACCTGTGGCCAAGGATCGCGTCCAATGCGGGCAGCATCGCGTGACCTGCCTGTGTCTGTGTGGAATAAAGTGGCCCCAGAACAACAGTCTCTGCTCCCGGCTGGCTTGGTGTTCTTCCCTCGCCCTTGTCCACCCCTGAGCCACTGCCTTCTTAGTAAAATGCACCCCTAGGGCCTCGTGACGAGGGGACACACTCCTTTGTGGGCCTTTGCTCAACAGTGTCTTTGCCCAGTGAGCAGGAGCCCCCTGCTGGTGCCACCATGCCCGAATAATAAAACAGTGGAAGGTGGGGTCACCTCTGGGGTTTCCTGATCTTTGGCACTTGGCATTTTCCCTGTTTCATGTCTGCTATGAAAACCAGCCCTAAAACTCACGTAGTGAATACTGCTTGAAGAGTGTCTTCCAGTGAAAAGGGCATTTGCGGGGCTGGGGATTTAGCTCAGCGGCATAAGCACCTGCCTTGCAAGCAGGCGGTCGTGAGTTTGATCCGTGGTACCAATAAAAATGAAAAAGACCAAAAAAAAAGGCATTTGTGGTCAGATAGTGTTGAGTGGACACTGGGTAACCGTGTGCCTAGGTAGGAGTGCTGTGTGTTTATGTGTGCACACCTGTAATCTCAGCAGGCCGGGGCAGGAGGGTCACAGCAAGTTCTTGTCCCTCCCAGGCTACAAGGTGAGACCCTGTGCTAAAAAAAAGTCACAAGCATTTAACATAAATAGTGCCATGTGGCATTATCCCCACCCTAAAGAATCAGTTCACAGGGGCTGGGAATTTAGCTCAGTGGCATAAGCACCTGCCTTACAAGCAGGCAGTCGTGAGTTCGATCCCTGGTACCGATAAAAAAGACAAAAAAAAAAAAAAAAATCGGTTCACAGTGTTTGCAGGTTGGGCCATCTATAATCCACAGCTTGGGAATGGAGAGGGTAAAATTGGGCCAGTTGGGCCAGCACAACAGGTATGAAACCTGGCAGAGCTAAGGGTTTCTGCAGCCACTTCATCTTCAAGGAATGTACTAGAAGTAGCCTTTATGAGCTGCTCCCCTTGTGCACCCCAGCTCCACCACCCTCGGGCTGGTTTGGACCTGCAGGGAGTCTGAGGTCCCCCTCACGGCCATGTTGCCCTGCTGGGTGGTATTGCTGGCCCGTGGAGGTGGGGGCTGGGGAGGCTGTAGGGCATTGGTGTAAAGTGACCTTTTTCTCCTTTAAAAAGGTGGCATGTGGACCCTCACACAGTGCCAACACCCATGAATAAAAACCCCTCCAGTGTTTCCTTAGCCAAAGGAGGTTTATGTTGTGAGTAGCAGAAGGAAAGTAAGGGGAGCTGGCACCTGGAGTTCCAGCCACCAGAGGGTCCCGTAGACAGGCGTCCTCAGATGGGGAACTTGATGTCTGCAATTACTTTGGGCAATTTTAGTGGGACCGAGGACCCCTGAGCCCCGGGGTGGGGAACTTTACATATAGACTTCTATCTACAGAGCCGAAATGAGTTTAGACCCCACCTCCACACGCACCCCCACACCCCTACCCCCCTATCCCACCCCCCGCCGTGTGAAGGAAGCTGAGGCCGATGGGGAGCAAATTTGGTCCCAGCCTCGGCAACTTAGCGACTTAATGGGGTCTCAGTGCAGAGGCCCTGGGTTTGATCCCCAGTACCACTGAGTCGTAAATGAGCCTCGAGCCGGGTCAGTGCTGGAGGCCAAGGGAGGGCCCAGAAGGCACCCCTGACCACTAGGAAAGCTCCGGGGAGTTCTGACCTCCCAGGTCCTCCTCCTGCCTCGGGCACCTCCCCCACTGCCTAAGGACACGCCCGCCCACGCATGGGAGGGTGACAATGGGGCCGTGTTGCAGGGACCCTAGACATGCTTAGCAACGCAGGGACCTCTGGCGCCCCGGCCGCGTTCGGACTGCAGCACTGCAGCATGGCGCGCTCGTGCGCACGTCTGCGGCTGGAAAAAGGCTTCGTGCTCGACTGCGTGGCGGTGGACACCGTGGCCCGCGCCTATGGCTCCATGCGGCCCAAGCTGTGGTCGGCGATCCCGCCCTACAACGCGCAGCAGGACCCGCACGCATGCGGCTACTTCTGTAGCCGTCCGGTGCCCGCCGTGCTGCGCAGGACCAACCAGGTGCAGGCCGGGGACACAGCACCCTGAGCTCCCAGGACTCAGTTGGCCCTGGCGGGAGGGCACCGGGCTCACACCCTTGCGCTTCTCCCAAGGAACTGGTGCCATCCTTCCATGTGACACCCAGCCCACCCTGCAGGGTGACCTCAGCGGCAAATTCTCTGGAAATTCAAAAAAGCCCTGTGACATCTGGATGTGAGCCAAAGGGAGTCTGAGATGTCACTGTCACAGGGGCTCTTGGCCCCCAATTTGGCATTCTTCCTCTTGTTTTTGCCCTTCCTTCCTGGGGATTGAACCTAAGGCCTTCATAATGAGCTGCACCCACCTCCCCCCCCCCCTTTTTTTTTTTTCCTTTTTATCAGTACTGGGGATCGAACTCATGGGACTGCCTGCTTGCAAGGCAGGCGCTTATGCCGCTGAGCTAAATCCCCAGCCCCACCCACACCCCTTTCTAAACTGTTATTCTGGGACAGGAGCTCCCTGTCTCTCAAAATTGCCCGTGCTGAGTTTCAGTTGGTAATCCTCTGCCTCAATTTGTCAGATTGCTGGTATTACAGGCTGTGCTGTCATGGCAGGGTTACTTTTGTTTCTTTGTTGAGACATGGTTTTGCTATGTAACTCAGACTGGCCTCAAACTTACAGTGATCTTCCTGCCTCAGCCTCCCACATGCTGGGTGCTGGGATTACAGGTGTGTGCTGCCATGCCCAGCTGCTAGTTACCTATGACTTTGACTCCCCCTGTATAAAAGAAACCCCAAGTTTGCTGAGCACCCCAAGGATTTCACTGATCATCTGTATTTTCAGGACCATGGTGGTACAGGACAGGATGGCTGGATAGTGGATTATTTCCACATTTTCGGGCAAGGACAGCGATATCTCAACAGAAGAAACTGGGCAGGGGCAGGTAGGCGCTATCTTGCTGTGCAAATGTGGTCCCTTGAAGAAAGGGTGTGTGACCCGCAGCTCAGGGAAACCAAGAGAGGAGCCGAGTGCAGGGGGAAGAGAAAGAGGCTGCATCCTCTGGGCTTTTCCTCAGCGGGAATGGCCGGTGCCACAGTGCCCTGAGTATTGTTACTGAGCATCTACGTCAATAATTTTTACCCTCCAGGGAGCCTGCGGTACAATTGGGGGTGGAGTTCGTGTCTGTCCTCCCTAAGGCATGTGTCTCATGCTGGGTGTGGTAATCGCAGCATTTGGGAGACTGAGGCTGGAGGATCACTTTGAGTTCAAGGCTGGCCTGAGATGCATAGTGAGACTCTGTCTCACAACAAAACAAACAGCCTGTTTCCCTGACCCCTCCTCCAGGCTGTGTCTCACTCATTTTCCTGGCCCAGTTTAGCAAGAATGGGATGGGGCGGGTAGAGACAGAGAGCTTTTGGCAGGGGCTTCTCCTCCCAGCCTAGCTCCTCTGCCCTTGGACCACGTGCTGGTTATGTGACCCGGTCTCTCACCTGGACCTACTGGTTTCATCCTCTTCCCTGAGAAGGACAGAGGCAGGGGTGAACATCCTCATGTCTCTGGTTCGGGGCAACTTCGGCCACGCCCCAATGTTTCTGTCCTGGTCTCAGCATCTGCCATTCCCTGGTGCTGTTGGAACTAGTCCTGGGGTGAAGGTTTTGGTTTATGGGGCGTCTCTGACTCCAGAACCTCACCAACCCTGCAGTTTATAGTCAAGAGGCTCAGGCCCTTTGATGAGAGAGGTTTGCATACTTTGTAGTCCTGGCTGGTTTTGAACTTGCAATGATCCTCCTGCCTCAGCCTCCCAATTGCTGGGATAACAAGTGTGCACCACCATGCCTGGCTTGCTAGAGGTTTGTTTTTTGAGATAAGATCTCATTACGTAGCCCAGGCTGGCCTTGAACTCCTGGTGACCCTCCTGCTTCAGCCCCCAGTGCTGGGATGACAGGCACACACCACTGTGCCTCACTTGACCAGAGCCAGTTAACCACTCCTGGCAGCCTGCAGGAACAGGAAAGGCAAGGGGCACTGCGTGGGGCTCAGCCTCCCTTGTTGTCCCCAAGGGCATTCCCTCCAGCAGGTGACCGGCCATGACTACTACAACGCCTTTCCAAAGCTGAGCCCCGGCTTCAGTGGCCGGTTTGGCTACCGCAGAAACACCCCAGCCCTCCGCCAGCGGTCCTCAGTGTTCGGAGAAGTCACCCCATTTCCTCTCTACTGACAACACTGCTGCCCTTCACAGCCCTTGAGTGGAATTTCTTGGACAGAAGCTTAGAGGAACTCTCAGTATTATTTTCTATTAAAGAAGTTCTATTTGTGTCACCCTGTGTATTGTATTTTTGTTTTGTTTCGTAGGGGACTGGCTGGAATTCTCAGTGATCCTCCTACCTCAGCCTCCTGAGTGCTGTAATCATAGGTGTGCACCACCACATTGGGGAGAAAACACACTTTGCAACACTAGAGATATAATTGGGCCCTTGCATAAGCTACACTCCAGTCCTGGGAACAAGTGTGACCCTCATCAAAGTGCTTACCCAGGTGGCAGCAGGGCTCTGGTCAGAAGCTGGCTACTGTTTCTGTCCAGAACAGAGCAGGCAGGAGGGCACAGGGACTGGACCTTGGTTGCCCCAGAAAAGATTTTCTGACACATGGAATCACTCTAACAAAACCTGACATTTCAGGGAGTGGGTGGTGGGTGGCACACATCTGTAATCCAGAGACTGAGGCAGGAGGATCTCCAAGAGTTTGATGCCAGTCTGGGCTACAAAGTGAGACTCTGTCTCAAAAACAAACCAAAGCAAAACCCAAAAACCATGACATTTCATTTCTTTTACCCTCAATTCATAAAGAGGCAGGAGGCAAACAAGATTGATACTGGGCTCTTTTTCCCATAATATAAATTTTGAAAATAATTTTTAATAAAGATTGATACCAGGGTGCTGTTAGCCCAAGGATTCTAACACAGAACCAACAGCTTCTGCTCTGTTTTCTTCTCAGCGGGTGTCCAGCTTGTCATTTACAAAGTGTCCCCACCCAGTTGATGAGTGGCTAGGATGGCAGCCAAAGCAGATGATGCTTTACACACAGAAGGTGAGGCCTGAGAACACAGAGCCAGCAAGGGCGGGACACAAGGACTGAGTCACCATAAGTGGACAGAGAAGACAGCCCTAACAGGGTGTGGGGGTATAGCTCAGGGGTAGAGCATTTGACTGCAGATCAAGAGGTCCCTGGTTCAAATCCGGGTGCCCCCTTCCCTGTTCATTTTTTTTAGTTCCATAAATGGGAACAAGAGTAAATACAGCCAGAGAGCCACTAAAAGACAAGGAATTTGCTCAGGTTCATTCTTGCCCTAAAATAATTGTTCCACATTCCCAGGGAATCAGTAAAAGCCCCCCCACAAGGACCCCTCCTGGGTTTTAATTAATACAAAATCCCCAGGAAGTAATTTCAAATCTAATTGTATGTCTAGAGGTAAAGGCAGGCATGGTGGCACACCTGTGTAATCCTAGCTCTCTGAACAGCTAAGGCAAAAGGGCTGCAAGTTCAAGCCTCCCCTCTTCAACCTATTCTCTTAGCAAAACATTCTCTTTTTCAAAAGAAAAAAATACAGTCCTGGAGCTGTAACAGTGTGAAGAGCCTGAATTCAATCCCCATTACCAGGGAAAATCTTTTATACCCTAAACCTGTGAACACAACTTGGCCAGCTGATGTATGACACAGTAAAAGCAAAGATGTTCAACGTGTACTTTTGAAAGCTTAAAAAAGAAAAAAAGCAAGCTTAGTACAGAGGTGTTACAAGCAGAAAGAACGAGAGTCCTGTCACAGAGCTGCCCATCTGGTGGGTGGTGACACTTCACACAGAGCTGGCCAAGGCAGAGAAAAAGTCTAGATGCAATTGCTCTTTCCAAAACACTGTCTCACTTTTTCTAGTTATTTCTAATTAAAGACTTTCTAAAATTTACCAGGCTGCTAAAATTTACCAGGCTGCCTCTATTATGCTTTTTTTTTTTTTTTTTTGGCATTGGGAATTGAACTCAGGAAGGACCTTCTGCTTCCCAGGAAGGCACTGTGCTGGTTGAGCCATAACCCAGCCTCCTACCTCTATCTGAACTAAAGACCAGTATTAACCTGATGCTGGGTAATGGGTAACCTCCCTCTCTACAGGGTTGGGGGAGCTCTTTCTTTCTTTCTTTTTTGGATAAGGTCTGGATAAATTGCTCAGGCTGGGCTCAACTTTCAATTCTCCTGGGCATTGGGACTATAGTTGTGTCTGGCTTTCCGAAATACTAGCTGCAGTGAGGAGCAGAAGAGATGCCAGTGTAAAACTGAGCTAGAGCCACACAGAATAGTGAGCGCACAAGCAGAGGCACACCAGGTGGCCTTTGGATTTTCAACAGGCTGCCAAAACAAATGGGGACAAAAGTCTTCAAAAGAGCATGCTTAGCTCAGCGGTAGAGCACCTGTGTGTGAGAACCTGCAATCAATTCCAGCACCAAATGGGCACAAGAAAATCAGGCTGGAGTAACTGGATATATTCTGAAAAAGTTAATCACACACCAGACACCAGACACCAGCATTAATTTGAAAACACAGATTTGTGAGGCCATTAGAGGAATACAGAACAAAATACCAAACCAGAAGAGACACAAAGACTTCTTAATAAGGAGACACAAAATACAGGCATAAAGAAAAATACTGATAAATTCTACATCAGCCGAGCATGGTGCTTCAGGCCTGTCATCCCACCACTTTGAGTCAAGGGCAGCCTGGGTTACACAAATGAGTTTAAGGCCAGCTGAAACTACAGTGAGACCCTGTATCAAAAACAAAATTCCTGTAATCTCAGCACTGGGGAGGCTGAGGCAGGAGGATCCTCGCAAATTCAAGACCAGCCTGGACTACAAAGTGAGCTCAAGGCCAACCCGAACTGCATATGGAGACCCTGTCTCAAAAAGACAACTAAAATACAATAAAATAAACTGCTAAGACAACAGGGACGCTACAGAAGAGGAGAAACAATTTGCAAAATATGTACCTGGCAAACAAAACAAAAACCAAAACTGGTGTTCAGAATATATAAAGAACTCTTAAAAATTGAGCGGGGTATCACTTGCGTGTTGTCGCAATTTTAAATCAAGCACCCTTTCGTAAAATGAAGTAAAATATAAAATAATAAAAAAAATGACTGGGGATGTAGCTCAGACAAGGATCCTAGATTCCGTTTCCTGGACTCCTGGATTCCGAAAAGAAGAAAGAAACAAAACATTTCACAGCTCCAAAGTAAAGGCTGGAAAGAGCCAATTAAGGAACGAGGGGAAGGGCGGGAAGTTTCTGAGGGTTTAGCGCAAGGACTCGGAGAACTTGCTGCACGGTTTAGGTTTATCTCCGTTCACTGGGCCAGAAGCGGGCGGGCTGGCGGAGAGCCCTGGCCCGAGGGTCAGCAAAAAGTCATCTCGGAAACGCAGGGAGCGCGCTGCGCAAGGAGGCCGAATCCGGAAGGCGGAAACCACGACAACGTGTCTACGCCGCCGTCACGTGATAGACCAGCTGTTCATGACGTCATCGATTCCGATCCTGACGCGACCTGATGACGCAGATCCCGGAAGTGCACTCTAGGCCTGGACCAGAAAGTCTCTGCTGCTGCTTCCCAGAGCAGGTCCCGCGAGGGCGAGCAGGCAAACGTCCCGGCGTATCCTCCTGATCTCTCCCTAGCCTCTCGCCCCGCGTAGCGAGGACACGTCGCCACTACCATGGGGGGCGGGGACCTGGTACGTAGGGTTAGGGTTAGGCCTGGGCGGGGATCGAGTGGCTATGGGGGTGGAAATTGGCAGGGATTGGGGGTAACAAACAGGGGTGGGTAGTGGTCACCATGGTAACGAGGTCCTCCCGCTGAAGAGGGGACGGGTCCTTAGGACCATAAGGATGGGGCTGGCACTTGGGAAAGCATGCGAGGGTCCTGCGAATTGTGGCTCGTGATGTGTGTGTACTGGTTGGCAGATTCTAAGACCGTGACACACGAATTTTTTCGTTTTAAATTTAATTATTAAAAACTTAATTTTAAAAAAATTATTAACTATGGTGCTTGGAATGGAACCGCTGATCTTATATCACTGAGCTACACCCCCAGCCAGGCTTTGTTTCCTGCATCATACATATCTGGGGACACGGGACACATTTCCTCTTAGCTAGTTGAGTCCTGTGCAGGGTCAGAGCTGGGGCACTTGGACCCGGTTCTCCCTGTTCCCAAGCCGTATCTTTGAAGGAACCTTAGGTCCACCTTTTGGACTTGCGCTCCCGCGTCAGTGCTGACTTTTTTTTTTTTTTTTTTTTTTTGAGTGCTGCTTTCTGATCTGTCCTGTAGTGACTGTGCTTTCTTCTGTAGTCACAGCGCTTATATGTGTAGCGATTGCTCGTAAGCGCTGCAGCTCCTTTGTAAGGGAGTCAGGCTTCAGGTTGGGAAGAGGGTGCCGTGCAAGCCTGGGAACGACTTACCTTCCCAAGTGGAGTGAATGGAACCAGCAAATGGATCCACCTGAAGATCTGTCCAGGAGTTAAGTTTAGTTTGTCAGGCGTCGTGAGAGTGAGTTCCAGAACTCCTTCAAGCTTCATGCAGCTTAGTGCATTCTTCAGAAAACTATTTTGAGTTGGTTCTTTACCCCAGACCTGTGCTGTTGAGAGTTTAGTTCTGATTAAATAATCAACTAGATTGTGTGTGTGTATGTGTGTGTGTGTGTATGTGTGTTGAAACTGGCATTTAGCAGCATTGCTGGATTCTTGCCTAGTTGTGACAAAGAAAGATGTCTTCAGACATTGCCACCAGTTCTCTGGGGTCAGATCACACATGGCTAAGGGAGTGAAGGCAGCCAGCCAGCTGTCTCCTAAGCTTCTCCTCCTCTCTTCACCCTCAGAGTGCTCCTCTTCCTCTCCTGTACACCACCCAATGCTTGGGCTCCGGTTGCCCCCTTGGGAAGTAACACTGAAGGAGGTGGACAGATTTCTGCAGAGGGAAGGGCATTCACAGTTACAGCCCCATTCTTGTGCTGGAGGCAGAGGTCGAACTGATGGAGAAGGGGTACAAGATGAAGCGAGCTGAGGAAGGAGGTTCTGGGCCTTGTGTAGGGACTGGGCTTTGTCTTGTTGGTGCTGGACATGGGAGAGGTGTGGCCATCTGTCACTCAGAGAGTGGACAATATTATGAAGACAAAATAAGACAACGCACACAAAGTATCTGGCAGGTGGAAAGAGTGCAGGCAAAGAGCTCTCTTGCTGTGCTTTTCTCTCTCTTTCCTCAACTGCTTCTTTTCGATCATACAGTTCTTTCTCCTCCTTTTAGTCAGTTCTTCCCTCCTTCCTTCACCTTGGCCTACTGGTCCTGACCCTGCCTCAGCCTCCTGAGGGCGCCACTACACTGGGTTGTTTTGGGCTTATTATTATGGTGCTGAGGGCTCAGATGTGCTAGGCAAGCACTTGACCCTGACATCTGGTCCACACTGTCTGCCTTGTCACAGCGGGGCAGTGGCAGTGTGAGACAGGGCCACAGCCATGCAGCTGAATCATGCTGTCTCCCCTCCACTGCAGAACCTGAAGAAGAGCTGGCACCCGCAGACGCTCCGCAATGTGGAAAAGGTGTGGAAGGCCGAGCAGAAGCATGAGGCCGAGCGGAAGAAGATCGAGGAGCTACAGCGTGAGTTGCGGGAGGAGCGAGCCCGTGAGGAGATGCAGCGCTATGCAGAGGACGTGGGCGCCGTCAAGTGAGTCAGTCTGGGCCAGGACAGTGGCGGTGTCACGTGTGTCTTGTGTTGGTGCCTGGGTCCTGGAGTCAGACTCCCTTGGCTTTTTTTTTGTCCCACTGACCCTCAGACCTGCTGGTCTTTTGTGAATGTGAGGGGAGGGTGAGTTCACACTTGGGTGTGAGGCATCTGGGAGGAGTCCAGCTCTCTACCAAGGCTGCCCCCACAACCTGCCTGCTCCTGCCTCAGCCTCCTGAGCTCTGTGTCACTATACCCTCAGCCTCCTACCAGACAGTTGTGCTTGCTGTCTGCAGTGTCCCAGAGTCACCCACACTCAGCTGACACCAGCATTCTTGTGCACCCTTGGCCAGTGGCCCCTGCCCCTGCACACCCAGGCTGTGTTTGTCCCTGTTCCTCTTGGCCAATGGAGGTGCTGAGTGGGTGTTGACAGATGGATCAGTGTGGAGCCCCAGTTTTCAGGGCGCCTCCAGGCAGGGAAGGTGCTCACTGGAATCCACCTCCCAACAGCTGGGTGCAACCACTTTGGCTTGGGGGGTCCCAAAAACTCAAGAGGCTGAGGGAGGATTAAATAAGCTTAATTGTTGAAACCTGAGCAACACAGTGAGACCTAGTCTCCTGGGGACTTTTTTTTTGCAGTGATAGGAACTAACCCAGGGTCTTGCGGATGCCAGACACACACTGTAAAGAGGTTTTTTTTTTTTATTTTAATTTTTTTTTTTTTTTTGCGGTACCAGGGATTGAACTCACTATCTTGCGCTTGCCAGACATGCACTTATGCCGCTAAGCTAAATCCCTGGCCCTATTTTTAATTTTAATTTTAATTTTAATTTTGAGATAAGGTCTTGCTATGCAGTTCATTCTGGGCTTGAGCTCACTGTGCAGCACAGGCTGACCTCGAACTCATGGCCATCCTTTTGCCTCAGCCTCTTGAGTGCCAGGATGACAGGTGTGTGCCACCACACCCGGCCCTGCTGGGATCTGGTTTTGTACGCAGGTCTAGAGACGTCTGCATTTTCCTTTGATTGTGCTCGTCGTTTGTCTGTAACCAGAAAGAAAGAGGAGAAGCTGGACTGGATGTATCAGGGCCCCGGTGGGATGGTGAACCGTGACGAGTACCTGCTGGGACGCCCCATTGACAAGTACGTGTTCGAGAAGGCGGAGGACAAGGAGGCCGGCTGCTCCTCCGAGACCGGGCTGCTTCCGGGCTCCATCTTCGCTCCAGCAGGGGCCAACTCCCTTCTGGACATGGCCAGCAAGATCCGGGAGGACCCGCTTTTCCTCATCAGGTACCTGAGGTGCAGAGTCTCTGCCAGGCCAAGGGTGTCCGTCTGCAGGCAGACGGTCTGGGATCGGGGCCAGGACCTGTCCAGGCCGTACGGGAGAGGGCTGGCAAAGTACAATGGCATGCCAGACCCTGCCTGGTCATTTATCTTCTGTTTGTTTCTGTGTTTTGTTTTGTTCTGTTTTATTTTGTTTTGTTTGAGACAGAGTCTCACTGTATAGTCCAGGTTGGCCTTCAACTCATAGCCACTCTCCTGCTTCAGCCTCTCAAGTGCTGGCCTTACAAGGCATGTGCCACTGTGCTCCAGTTATTCATTTATCTTTGACTCTTAAATAGAAATAGGAGTTGAGGCGAGGTAACAGAGTGGACTAGGTGCTTCTCTGAAATTTGAGGTGCGTGTAGCACTGCGGAAGTGGTGAACAGGCTTTCTTCTCCCCATTTCTTTTGTTGCAAGGGGGCAGCAGAGCCCTTTGGAAAGGAGGAATCTGCTTTGTAGCGGCTAAGCTGTAGCCGACGTAGGCAGAGCTGATAAGTGAGGTCGGGCTGCGTCCATTATTACAAAGTCGCGGTTTTATAAATTTCTCTATTTAGGAAGAAAGAGGAGGAGAAAAAAAGAGAAGTGTTGAACAACCCTGTGAAAATGAAGAAAATCAGGGAGCTGGTGAGTTGTTTATAAAACAGGCATAAAGCCACCCCTACCATGAGTTTATCTTCACTTCCTGTTACTTCAAGGAAAAACTCAGAAGTCTTTTTAATTTTTGTTGGTTTTTGAGACCTGGTCTCACTGTGTGACCCAGGTTAGCCTTGAACTCTAGGTGATCGTCCTTGCCTCAGCCTCCCTAGTGCTGGGATTATATGTAGGTGCCACCAGCCCTGGCTGGAGCACTTTTGAATGGGAAGCAGGGGACCCCTGAACAGTGGCTCTGGGAACTCTTGTATCTCTCCTCAGAGGTTCTGCTTAGGAGGCCAGGGTGGTGAGGACATAGCCCTCGTCTCCCATGGTGCCCCATGCCCTGAAGGGGACAGGAGGCAGTGGCCTGTGTGAGGCCCTGTCCTGCCTGGGGCTTGGGCAGACACCTCAGGAATCCTGTGAGGTCACGCTCTGGGCATTTTCTAGTTGCAAATGAGTCTGGAAAAAAAGGAGAAGAAGAAAAAGAAGGAGAAGAAAAAGAAGCACAAGAAACACAAGCACAGGAGCTCAAGTAGCACCCGGTCCAGCAGCGAGGACGAGCCCAGTCGGGGGAGGTGAGGGTAGAGGCCCATGGAGCTGGGCAGTGCAGGGCATTGCATTTCCGGTCGGGACACTGGGTGAGGGCTGTGACAGGGTGCTGGGGGTGTGGCAGTACAGGTGGGGCTGGCAGTGCTGCCACAGAGGGACCTAAGTGAGCTCACCTGAGCCTCTAGAGCTCGGCCGACCTCCCAGTTTAGCTCATTTGCACCTTGGCTTGGGTCCTCAGGACAGAAGGGGTTATTTGGGGATCAGACTGTGTAGTTGAGGCTGGGCTGGAACTCATGGTGATCCTCTTGCTTCGGCCTCCTGAGTGCTGGGATGATGGGTGTGCGCCATCCTCCTGCTCAGGTTTGAGGTGGGTTTTACGTAGGCTTTTTTTTAATGGATTAATGAGCCTGCGTGGGCCCCATTTGTGTCTGTGCTGTGGGAAGAGTCAGCTGAGTCATGCTTAGGCCCCAGAATAGCAGCCCGAGGTGAGAGGCTGTGCCCACAGCTCCTCCCAGAGAAACCTGCCAGTGATGTGGCCCACTGTGCAGACGTCTTGGACAGCTCTGCTGGGTGAGAGCAGAGGAGGACGGAGCCTCCCACTGGCCCTTGGTGGGCGGGCTGCTTTCTCAGTGAGTGTGTCTGTTTACATCTTAGGGCTCAAAAGAAGGCCACGGACTCCTTTCCAGTTTTGTCCAAAGTCCCCGGCTATGGCTTACAGGTAGGGACATGGGCTTCTCTGGGGGACCGAAAGAGCCACAATGGTCCTGGCACAGCCAGGAGCTCTGCACAGGGCCAGCTCCCAGCCCTCTGCAAGTCACCTGCGGGAAACCTCCCAGCTGCCAGTGCACTGATGCCTTCTGAGTTGTCTTTACTTTTACTCTTCTGGTGGCGCTGGGGTTTTGAACCCAGGACCTTTGCACTGAGCTACAATCCCCAGACCTTTTAAAAATGTTTTGAGGCAGAGTCTTGCTAAGTCAGTCAGTCGCTGAAGCTGGGCTAGAATTTGTGGTCCTCCTGCCTCGTCCTCCCCAAGTGCAGGATGGCAGGTGTGCTCTGGTGCACCCGGCTCTGTGGCATCTTGCAGCCTGCCGCCCTGACCCCATCCTCCGTGCCCTGCTTTGCTGCATGCTGGGCCCTGGCTTGCTGCCTGGAGCTGCCCTCTGGCTTGGCCAGTGAAGTTTTCTCCTCCCTTTCTCCCTCCCCTCCCTGTCAGGTCAGGGACCCTGCCCGGGGCCCTTCGGTGGCAGAGGCCAAGGGCACGTCTGGGCTGAATGACCGGTCCAGGTCGCCGAGCTCTTCCCGCTCTCCGTCCAGACACGCCAGCAGGAGGAACCCCAAGGACAGGAGCCCCAGGGACAGGAGCCCCCGGTCCCCGCCACGCAGTCGAGTTCAGTGAGTGCGGGGTGCCCTGGAGCCCGTGAGCACTGGGAGGTTTCAGACAGCTCTGTCCTGCTGTAGGGGGACATGGTCCAGACTGAAGAGGCTGCATGCTCTGTGTCCCCTGCAGGCACAATGGTAAAGGCAGCCACAGAGAGCGGGCCCCAACCCAGAGCCCGTCCCCGTCCCTGAAGAAGGCCTGCCTGCAGCGGCGCATGCCCGGCTATACCAGGTGAGGGGCGCTGGACCCACCGGCAGGAGCTCCACACAGCTACACCCTTAGCTCACTCTGAAGCTGTGCTTTGGAGCAGGAGCGTGTTACATTGCTCAGGCCAGGCTTGAGCTTGCGATCCTCCTGCCTCAGCATCCCAGAGTGCTGGGTGACAGGAGGGTACCCCAGCCCGCCAGATGCCGGCAGGTGTGGAGCCAGCCTGAGGTGGGCGTGCAGGGCACCCAGCCCCTCTCCAGGGTCCTGGAGTGCCTTGGGCCCCGTAGGCCCAAGGGGAAGGCTGCAGGGCTCCCAGGCTCCTTGGGGAGCTCCCCAGCCAGCCCATCCTCCACGACACCCTCCAGCGGCGCCTGCATCCTGCATGTCCAGCCTCATTTCCCCTTCTCTCCTTCTGCTGTTGCTTGGGTTTTGTCTGATTCTGTCAACCATTGTTGCGGTGCTGATGGTTCCTTACTTGTCTGTTTTCCTCCACGGTACCGGGGGCTAAACCAGGGTCTTCACAATGAATACCTGCACAGCTCTGTAGTTTTAAAGTTTGAGCAGGGTCACGAGGTATAGATTTGGTCTCACATTCCCTTCCTCAGTTTCCCCTCGGGCCACCATGCCTTGCTGAAATTCTGTCTCAAACGCTTTTTTTATTGCCTGAGACTATTTGTTGACATACATTGTTTTGCCTTGTGGTAGTCTCATTTTAATTTTATATTAGTTCCATTGCTTTTAAAATTTCTTACAGGCAACATAGCACTTTTTTTTTTTTTGGTGGCAGTGGGACTCAAACCTAGAACCTCTGCACTTAGTGACCTACCCACTTTTTTTTTTTTCTTGTACCAGGAATTGAGACCCACGCTTGATTTTTTTATTTTTTACATGACAGGTCTTTCTAAGTTGTACCCAAGCTGGGCTCAAATTTGAAATCCTGCCTCGACCTCTCATTGCTGGGATTATAGCCTGTGCCACCATGCCCAGTTGGGTGACACATTTGTAATTAAAAAATACCTATGCTCATCTGTCTGGCAAGCCTCAGGTTCTGAGTTCAATTCCCTATACCAAAAATTTTTTAAAAATACCTGTTAGGGGGCTGGGGATTTAGCTCAGTGGCATAAGTGTCTGCCTTACAAGCGTATGGCTGTGAGTTTGATCCCCGGTTCCGATTAAAAAAAAAAAACAACCTATGCTCAAACTTCTGTACCAGAAAATCATACCTCAGATGTGTCTGCAATTCCTGTTGATTTGTAAACTGTCTAGAACAAAAGTGGCAAAAGAAAATGGAAAATAGAGTTACTTTGTTTTTTTGAGACAGGTTCTTGCTGTGTAGCCCAGCTTGACTTCGAACTCCTGGGGTGCTCCTCCTTCCTCAGCTCCTCACTGCTGGGGATAACAGGCCTGTACCACCATGCCCAGCTGAAAATGGAATTATTCTTGCATTTATTGCAGTTACTATGGAGTTACAGTTTCTTAGATTATTTTAGTCAAGTGGATATGCATGCATTTTTCAAAGTCCTATAGTATTGAAAAATCTTTTTTTGTTGGTTGGCTTTTGTTATTTTGTGTTTTGAGATAGAGGGTCACTGTATGACCTTGAACTCACGTGATTCTCCTGCCTCAGTGTCCCAAGTGTGAGGACAATAGATGTGTGCCACCACACCCAGCTTTACGAGATCCTTAATGTCCTGAAAATTTGGGTGAAACTGGCACAGTGATATCTTATCTGTGTTCCCAGTACTTCAGAGGCTGAGACAGGATGATTGCCATGCAATTAGGACCAGCCTGGGCTATACACAGTAAGACCCTGTGTGAAAGAATCAAAACAAAAAAAATGAATAAAAATTTGGGTAAGGGGCCGGGGATGTAGTTTAGTGGCAAAGCACCTGCCTGGTAAGCACAAGGTCCAGAATTCAAATCTCAGTACCAAAAAAAATTGGTACTGATATTGGCCTGGCCTGCCAATCAGCAGTCAGCAGGAAACTGGTGCAGGCCTGCATTTCCCTGGAAAGAACTCTGCTGAGACAGCTGAGGTCTTGCCTGACCTCTCTCCCCTCCCCGCGCGCTGCTGCCCAGGGTGGGGAGCTGACCAGGAGTCTGCTCTTCACAGGAAGCTTTCCCCGGAGGAACTGGAGCGGAAGCGGCAGGAGATGCTGCAGAATGCGCGCTGGCGGGAGGAAGAGCGTCTGGACGCCCTCCGGAGGCACGCGCGGGAGGATGAGCGCGAGCACCGGTTGGAGCAGCTGGACTCCCGCGATGGCCGCTTCATCCAGTGAGTGCTGGCGGGTTCACTGGGCCCCCAGAGCTCCTGTGGGACTCCTCCTGCCTCAGCCTTCCCAGTGGAGCACAGGGATCCCAGGCATGTGCCACCGGCTCCCAGTTCAGATTCCTGAAATCCCTGGGCCTGCTTTTTACATAAGAATTGAAGGTCCAGGAAGCCTTTTTCCAATGAAACATTGACTTCTTTTCCAAATGAGAAATTTTCCCTTCTGGACATTAAAAAAACCTGTGGCTCCCGATGGGAGTCCCTGGAAACCCACCTGCTGTGTGTGGGCTTCGATCGCACAGTCGCTTGGTGGCCAGTGACCAGCCTCTTACTGCCGCCGGGTTGATGAACTTTTCCTTTTTGTCCTCACAGCCGCATGAAGCTGGAGAGTGCAGCCACATCCTCCCTCGAGGACCGGGTGAAGCGAAATATCCACTCCCTGCAGAGGACCTCAGCAGCGCTAGAGCGGAACTTCATGCGCAGGTGAGCGTGTCCTGCGCCAGCCTCCTGGAAGAGCACAAGTGACCTTTTCAGCAGACGGCAGGCTAGCACTGCACAAAGTGACCCTGGCCCTCTTGGAGCCACGGTGATACCATAGGGATCCCGGGGCTACACTGTCTCTGGCTCAGGTCTGCGCTGCACCTTTCTCCCACTGGCTTCACTTCTGAGGCGTGAACTGGACCTGCCTGCCGGAAAGCTCATTCACCACCTAGGTTCTGCTCACTGGGCTTCCTGAGGATAATGTGACAGAATGATGTCAGCTTAGAGCAGAGCCAAGAGAGTGACAGAACTGGAGGAGAATCAGCACAGAAAGCCTTGAGGGGCCTCCACACTTGGAACTGAAAAGGCACAATGTGTGCATATGTACAGATGTGTCACTTCTCCCCCGAAACTTGGGGCACAGCAAGAGGGTCCAGCTCACTCTGCAGCCTCAATCTCACAGCCAGGAGGTGCTGAGTCTCCTGAAGGGAAGGAGGCTTTCTCTCCTGGCCCACAGGGTTGACAGACACAGCGATGTAGACTCGGAACTGTAAGAGTCAGGACCACGTTGCCAGTGTGCCCTGGCTCCCCGGAGTAAAGACAACAGAAGCTGTCGTATCATGCCTTCTTTTTAAATCATGTGGTGACCTTTCTATAGTTCTCGATTTTCAGGAGTTTGCTACTACAGTATTTTTTAGTCATGTTAAAAAACAATACCAAAAGTTTCAAGAGGCAAGCAGGCCATGATATACCCAGCTTTAATCCCAGCAGGTGGGAGGCTGAGACAGGAGGATCGCAGTGAGTTTGAGGCCAATCTGGGCTACACAGCGAGACCCCAGTCTCAGCACATCTCCAGGGGTATTCCTTATCGGTGTTCTTTGTGTGTGCCTGCTGAGGGTGAAGCTCAGGGTCCCATCCGTACTGGGCAGGTGATTCCCCAACTCTGCTAGGTGGTCTGGACTCGAGTTAGCTGGGCCGCCACGTCACTGTGTTCCTGACCGCACTGCACTTGGAATGTATTCGGATTTTCATTTCTCAACACTTCTGATGCTTTAAACCCACCGCATCCCCAGAGAGACTGTAACACGCTGGTGTTATTCATTTCATCGCCTCTTCCTGCTGCTGATGCTACAGCTAATTATGCTCTTTATTTTATTACTTGGTAATAAAGGCCACATTTATTTTTGTAACTGTGTGAAAGCGACCACGTGCAGAGTGTGCAGTTTGCATAGACCTGTGACTTGTGTTGAATACAGGGAGATCCTGAGTCGGGGAGGAATTATGTAACCGTGTGTGGGCAGGCTGCTCGGATCCGCACAGCCAGCCAGCAGAGGAGATGGTGGTCAGACGGTGTCCCTGGGCTCCAGCGGCCTCTTCCCTTGACCCTTGCGGGCCGAGGCCCGGGAGCAGGTGGGTGGGCTCAGAGCCCATTCATAAAACCCAGGGCTCCCGGTCGGCCTCTCATTGGCTCAGGAAGAAAGAGGCGTGGCCCGCAGCGCCGCGCGCCCCCAGTGGGGAGGAGTGGGTGGGCCCACGCTAGGATGGAGCGAGGGGGCGTTCCCCGTTTCGGCAGGCCAGACTTCCTTTCCCCCTCGCCCGTGTTCCCCCTCTCTCCTTCAGGGTGGGGATGGTACGACCCACCCTCCGCCCCCTTCTGGAGCTGTGGCGCCACCGCCGCCATCTTGGCATCTCAGCTTGAGGGAAAGCGCCCAAATTGGGCTCGGGGGGCCGGGCCGGCCGGGGAGCCCCTGCCGCCGCACGTGCGAGCCTGCCCGCCCCTCCCTGGCCTCCCCGCGGCGGAACGGCGCTTTGAAGCGCGCAGAGGCCAGTTCGGCTTCTGTCAGGCCCGCGTGCGAGGCGTGCGGGCTATACCACTTGAGCGGGGAGCCCGGGGCCGGTGGGCGGGGTGCGCGGGGCGGGGCGCGCGGGGTGGGGCGGGGCGAGGCCGGCAGGGGGCGGGGCGCGGGCGGGCGGAACCACTACGCAGGGTGGGGGGAGGTAACGGGACGGGCGCGACCATGACTCGGTGAGGCCGCGGGTGGGATTGGGTCCGGGGAGGCCTGGGGCCGCTGGCTTGGGCGCTGTCGCCGCCGCCCCCTCTCGCCGCTGCTGCCGCCGCCGCCGCCGTCGCCGCCGCCCCGGGCATGTCGTCCAACTGCACCAGCACCACGGCGGTGGCGGTGGCGCCGCTCAGCGCCAGCAAGACCAAGACCAAGAAGAAGCATTTCGTGTGCCAGAAAGTGAAGCTGTTCCGTGCCAGCGAGCCGATCCTCAGCGTGCTGATGTGGGGGGTGAACCACACGGTAACAGCACCCCCCGCGTATCCCACGCCCACCGCGTCCCGGCCCGCGCCCTGCACCCCATCGCAGCCTGCCGCCCGCCCGCCCACCCGTGCACGCGTGCGGTCCGCTGCTCCCCGCGCCCCGCGAGGCCTGGTATCCCTCACGCGCCGCCGCCTTCCTGCCTCCCGCCTTGCGGTCCGCGCCCGTCTTGCGCATCCTGGCCGCGAAGGGAAGGCCTGGGTGCCGGGATCGCACTGTGTGACCCCGCTGTTGCTTGTGCGTTACCCGGGGCCCCTCCAGCCGGCTGCCGATCATTGTCCGGTTGACAGCAAGTGGCACAGGCCTGGCTGTCTGTCCCCGTGTCTGTGGTCGATTGGCTGGCGCGGCGGTCCCGTTCCCACCCTCAGGCTTTCCTCCCCCCTCACGGGTGGAGATCCTTTCCCGGTTCCTTTTTATTTTCTTCTTGATCGAGCTATAGCAAGTAGAGAGGCACAGCCTGGCTGCAATCAGACTGCTGGGTAAGGGGGAAGAGACCCTCACCGTCTGAGGAACTCAGAGGCGTGGACTCCCATCTGTCCTGTGGCTTCCAAGGTTGGGGTCAGGGATAGTTGTCCTAGATGAGTGGTACTCTGGGTCCCACATGCTTTGAGAGTGTTTAGCAGCTTCCTGCAGGAAGTTGGAGGCTGCCCAGTGTTTGGAGCCGGGGAGTCGGTTTATAGGCCCTTGGTTAGGGTCTGTCTTCTGCCTGGCGCAGCTGTTTCCTCCTGTCTTCCGAGCTTCTCTTTGTGTGTCCCTCCTTGGGGCTGAGCAGGACCAACTGGAAGTTCCGAGGGAGGAAGATGAAGTGCTGGGTTTCCTGTTCTTCAGGCCTCCTGCTCTTCTGTTAGTTTGTTGTGAGACAGGGTCTTGTTTGTAGTTTGGGCTGGCCTTGAGGTCAAAGTTGTCAGGATTCTCCTGCTCAGCTTCCCACATGCTGGAATGACAGGTGCACACCATCCCGCCCAGCTCCCTGGCTCTGCAGACTGAAGGGTGAAGCAAGGGGCCCAGGGCCAGCAGAGTGCTGTGCTCTGGCAGGAGAGCCAGGCTCCTCTGGCTGGAGACTGCTGAACCGTCATCCCAGCCAGGGTACTGGATCTTCCCATCGGGCACAGCAGAGTGCCGTGTAGATGGGGTTTCTGTGCGTCCCTTGGTCTTGGGCAGGTCTCTGTTTTGCATCATCATTGTGGTTAATGAGGGTCCCAGAGGGTGGGGAGGGGGTACCTCAGTGTAAGGCTTGGCCCTCTGGAAGCCGCTTTGGGCCAGCTGTCCGGCAGTTTGTTTCTCTGGCTGCCTGCAGCCTCCGAGGTCATCTGACCGTATTCCTAGGGAAACTGGGTCATCAAAATATGAACTCCATGTCCTTTTCTAGAAGCCAATCCTTGATTTTGTTCTACTTCCTGCTTTTCACTAGAAAGCGCCCTGTCTGCGGGAGCTGGTGGTAACCGGGGTGAGGAGTGTTGTGGCTGACTGCAGGGACCTGGGTCCTGCTCTCCCGCCCGAGCCCTAGGTGTGGGAGCCGCTGGCCTGTGCTCACTGTCCAGCCTTTGGAACTGTGCTAGCCACTGCTGGGACCATGTGGCCAGTGTCCCATTTGCCACCTGTTCCTTCCCCCCCACTTTAAGCCATGTCCCAGGGCCCCTGGGAACTGGGCTCTCTCCAGAGCCTTGACACGTGCTCAGGGTATGGCCATGCTCACTGGCCTGGGCAGCCGAGGTGCTGGGTCTTCCTCCCAGCTGTGGGATCCACCGGAAATTCCTGTTAGTGATTGGTGCGGGGCTGGGTGGAAAGGCATTGATGTCCTCAGGACTGGGGGCACGCAGAGGGCCATGCCCTGCACAGGGGTTCCTTGGGGCTGTTGGTCCTGGCTTTTACTGCCTCTCTCTGATGCGGCAAGAGCCGCATCTAGACATGGGCCTAGATGACCACCTTGTCCAGGGCTCCTGGTGATCGTCCACCTTTCCGTGGCATTCTGCTTCTTTCCTGCTGTCACCCCTTTTGCCCGCTCAGGTTTCAGATACTCATTGACTTTGAGTCTTTAGTTTTTCATCCCTGTAAGCCTCCAGGTGTATCAGCCTGTGGCATGAAGGGCGATGGTCTTTTTGTTTTGTTTTGTTTTTGTTTTGAGACAAGGTCTTGCTGTGCAGCCCAGGCTGGCCTTGAGCTTGTGGTGACCCCCCTGCCTCAGCCTCCCAGTGCTGGGATGTTAGTATGCACCAGCCACTGTGGCTGGCCAAGCTGGTCTTTTTTTTTTTTTGTCTTTTTTGTTTTATATTGGTACCAGGGATCGAACTCACGACTGCCTGCTTGCAAGGCAGGCCCTTATGCTGCTGAGCTAAATCCCCAGCCCCTCAAGCTGGTCTTTAGAACAGAGTCAGCCGCTTCCCACTTCTGGGTGAGACAACAGGGCTTTGGCCCTGTGGTGTGTGAGGAGCCCTGGATGCTGGGGGAGCACAGAGGACCCGGGGTGGCAGAGGCAAGAGGACAGTAACGAGAAAGCCAGACTGAAAGATGTCAGAGGGTCTGAAATTCAGGGCGGGGTGCCCTGGACAGGGGCGCAGAAGCTGGAGCGAGGACCTGCCTGATGCTCTTGGTGGCTGGCGTCAGCCAGGTGAGCGGATGGAGGGCGCAGTGGCAGCAGAACTTTCCCCTGCCTGCCAGGGCAGCATGCCCATCACTGCCATCTGCATCTGCTTCGTAGCCTTCCATATGTCCCCTGGCTGCTGTGCCTTTGTGCACCCACTTAGCGATCGGGGTCGTCTGTAACTGAGTTTGTGTTCTTTATATCTTCTAGATAGAAACCCATTATTGGGTAGATAATTTGCATATATTTTATTCTTTCCATTGGGTTGTCTTTTTATGTTCCTTTTGTATCTTTGGAAGGTTAAATGTTTATTTTTTTTTCTGAGATAGGATCTTACTGCATAGTGCACAGTGCAGTCTGGCCTTTTCTTTTGTACTGGGGATCGAACTCACGATCTCACGCTTGCTAGGCAGGAGCTTGTGCCTCGGAGCTAACCCCCAGCCCTATACAGGCCTTGAACTCACTTACATAGCCCACACTGGCCTTGAACTCATAGTAATTTTCCTGCCTCAGCCTTCCAAGTGCTGGGATTACTGGTGTATGCCATCATGCCTTTCCTGAAGTGTTTATTTTGAAAAAGCCCAATTTGTCTCTTTTTCTTTCTTGTTTGTGTTTTTGGTGTGTATCTTAGGCTTTCTCATACTCAAATTTTGAGTATTTATTTCTGTATTTTCTTCTAAGTGTTTTATAGTTTTTTTTTAGTTTTTTTTTTTTTTTTAGCACTAAGCTGGGCACCAAGATGTTTACCTGGGGTCTGCTCTCCTCGGGATGCTAGGAGGGTCAGGTGGGTGCAGGAGTTGGAGGTAAGCCTAGGCATCATGGTGGGCGTTGGCCACGACAATAATGACAGCCACCACCATCCTAAGTAGGGGTGAGCTGGGTTATAGCACTTGCTTGGCGAGCACAAGGTCCCCAGATCAGCAGAAATAAGTGAGAGAAGAGTTTTCCTGGGAGCAGAATACGGGAACGACCCCTTGCGGTCAGTACTGCTGAGTGTGCAGGGGCTTCTGAGCTCAATCATGGAAGCTTGACACCCACTGCACGAGTGCCACACTTGTGTTTTCACTCAGCCAACGGCAGCAGCCTTTCCACGAGTTTGATGACCTCGGAGCCCTCAGTAAGGAGGACACACGGCACTTGTCTTTCTGTGACAGGCCTTCTTAGCATTAGGTCCTCTGGGTTCTTTTGTTTGTTTTGTTTTTGTTTTTTGAAACAGGGTCTCACTGTGTAGCCTAGACTGGCCTCCAGCTCTTGGCAATCCTCCTGCCTCAACCTCCTGAATGCGGAGGTAACAGGTCTTCTCCCCTGCGGCCAGCTATGTTGTACAGTGGCACCTTGGTTTATGAACTGAACAATTTAGGGGAAGATGGCTCTGTTTATGTTTGTGTGGGGGAGATGACTGGTGAGCTGATGCCAAGTTTGCAAGTGGAAGCAAAATTTCATCAAATGCTTTCGCTGGTGAACCGAATTGTTTGCAGACAGACATGATCATGAACTGAGGTACTGCAGTGTATTTCAGTTCCCTTTTTGAAGGCTGACTAGTATCCCATCGCACACATTTCCCTTTTTCTTCACTGATCTGTCGGTGGTTGAGGTTGCTTTCCCTCCTACTCCTGGCTCCATAGTTGGCTTTGAGTCTGTCTGTGTCAAGAGTGTGGGCCGGATTCATCCTTCAGTCTTAGTTCCCCTCCTGTTCCCCCATGCTTTCCACACTTTCTCTGCCTGGTGCAGATCCAGAACCCTCTGTACCTCCCTGTGCTGCTTTAGAAACCTTCAGTCAGTTCCTGCTCTGGCCAGGCCTTAGCATGACCCGTCGTGCTCTGGCCTTACGGCTGTGCAGAGGTGCTGGTGCCTCGAGCAGGAGTGGGGGAAGCCGAGAGGTGGAGAGGAGGAGAAACCTCCACCCTAGCACTTTGTGCCCCCTGGCCCTGGAACCTGGGTCTGCGGGGCCCTTGGGGCTCGCTGTGGTGGGGCCGCAGAGGAGCTGCGTTGTGCGAGCCGGGATGGAGTCGGACATGTCCCAGACCTGCAGGGCTGGCCGTGTCCCCTCCTCCCTGGTTCTTTTGCCGCGGATTCCTGTGCTGCAGCATGGGGAAGTGGGGTCCCGGGGACCAGAAGTTCCCTGAAGGAAGAATGGCCGGTTCTCATGCTTGGGAGGAGAAGGCCAGAGTGTGACTCCTACCGCTGTATGCCCCCCAGCTTCTGGTGAGGGGTCCCTTCTCTCCCTGGTGTGCGAGGGCGCAGCCTCTGGGAGCCCCAGCCTTCGCTCCATGCTTCTGCACTGGTTCAGGCCAAGCCCAGCAGCCTTGCTGTGCCCTCCAGCACTCTCTGAGGTCAGGAAGGTGCCCCAGGCCGCCTGCCCTCTGGGGACACAGCCTGCAGGAATGCAATTCCTGAGGAGGCAGCCATGACCCATGGCCCAAAGCCTCTGTCTGGCCTGTTGTGATCACCCCCAAGTTGGGATCGCAGCCTCCTTCCCATCTCTAGTCCTTCACCCATTGCCATTGCAGGACTAAACCCTAGGGGACTTGTCCCAGGTTTCAGTTCCTCAGCAACAGACAAACCCTCATGGAGCCCCGCCCTGCCCAGTTCATACCCTGGGGTGTCACTCAGTGGTTAGTGGTTGTCTGGGGCCATCTCCAGCACAAGTAATTAGGGTGCTTGGGGCAGTTGTTTTCTTGTTTAATTTTGTTTTCCGGTGCAGCTTTCCCTGCTGTGATTAGAGTAGAGGTGAGAATGAAAACCCTGCCCAGGCTGCAGGGATGGGCAGCCTGGTTGAGAGGCCCCACTGGCTGCCTGGCCACCATGAGGCTCCCAGCTTCTCCTCTGAAGCTCTCGGCGAAGGCAGATGAGGGGGGCTTGCTAGGGCCCCTCTGCACCCCGAACCCAGACACGTGCACGACGCGTGTCTGCTCAGTAAGGCAGCTGTGGCTTGTTATCCATGTACTGTGTCGCCCGGTCACTGTCACTGTCCTTTCTCTGCTGCACCCGTGCTGTGTGACCCCTGCGACTGTGACCCACCCAACCTGGATGTCACAGCCCTGCGTGGTCCGGCTGCCTTGTGGCCTGGCTTTCCCCATCTCTCTTCCTTGGAGCGCCATGTCCCAGACCTTGCAGCTTCTAGTGGCGACCCATCTCCCACTCCCGGGAAGAGTCCATTGTACCTTGTGCTGTGTTTTGCTTTGCATCGGTGGGGATGGAGCCCAGGGCCTCATGCGTGTAGGCATGCTCTATACTACTGCCTACGGCCCACGGGAATCAGTCATTTCTTTCCCTCCCAGCGTTCATCTTTTCATTACTTGTCCTCAGCCTCTTTTGTGTATTTATTTGTATTTCAAGACAGGGTCTCCCTGAAATGCCCTGGTAGGGCTTGAACTTGAAGTCCTCCTGCCTCAGCCTCCCTCTGGCTGGAAGTACAGGCACGAGGCAGAATGCCAGGCTGGAATCAAGCATTTCTTAATGTTTCTCATCTCCCTCTGTACCTAATGCAGGTATAGCATTCCTCGAATATTAGTTACTGGCTGTCTGTCCTCCAGCCCACATAGAGGCTGTGTCTTTGTGCTTTCCTGTCCACCTCCTGACCTGGCTCTGGCAGATCATAAATCAAGGCTGTTGGGAGGCTAGGCCAGAGCAGGAGAGGCTTTGGCTGCTGGGCTGCGGAGTTAAATCCTTCCCCCAGGCTTCAGAGGAGGAGTAGCCTATCCTGAGGCAGGAAAGTTGGAGGATCTTGCTGCAGACTGCCCCCTGCAGGACGCTGGTGGCTGAGCCACTGTGGCTTCCTCTCATCTCCTTAAAGGCCTGGGTCTCCCTGTGTGTGGGCAGCGCTTCCCCAGGCGCCCCAGGTGGAGACACAGAAGAAAGCACCGAGTTGCTGTCTTCGTAAATACTGTTCAGCCGAAGTAGAATCCGGCTCTGCTGGGAATAAAAAAGTGTAGCATAACTAAAAAAAGGGGTTAAAGTTAGAGCTGAACCCGAGTGTGAGTCCTCGGGGTTGAGATGCACGGCTCGTTCCCCATCTTCCAGGTTGTTCTTATGCTACCTGGGCTAAAAAATGTCCTGTCACCAGGTTGTGTGACTGAGCATAGAAATAAACCGGGCTCAGTGGCGCACGACTGTAATCCCAGCACTGGGGAGGCTGAGGCAGGAGGATCTTAAGTTTGAGCCCTGCCTAGGCAATTTAGGGAGACTCAGCCTCGAAATAAAATGTAAAAACGGCTGGGCCTGTGACTCAGTGGTAGAGCAAGGCTGTGGATTTGGTCCTGTTACTGACGGGAAAGGAAAAGGTACAAAGGGGAAGTTAGGGCTGTGAGCCAGTGGTGTACAGCCCTGTGAATCGCGTTCACCACGGGCCACCTCCTGTCGGACCAGCTCACGCTGCTTCCTGGAGCCGAGGCCTCCCACCAGGGTGTGTTTATTGGGTCTGGGCACTGAGGAGTTTGGGCTGCCTCAGCTCACTCGGTACCACTGTGGTCCTGTGAGCCCAGACTGTGTTCTTTCCAGCGCACGAGCTGAGCCGGGGAAAGTGCCCCGGGTCTCTTGTCCCGTTTCCCATTAGCCCTCAGAACCCAGCTCAAGATGGCAGGAAGCAGGATCGGTCACTGTCACGGCTTGGCTGCAGAACAGGGGAGCAGAGTAAGCTCCTGTGGGCACAGATTGACTTTATGAGCAGTGCAATGCACAGATTTTTTGAGGCACTGGGGTGCACGCCCATGATCCCAGTACCCTGGGAGGCCAAGGCAGGAGGGTCTCAAATTTGAATAGACTTTGGGCCACTCAGCAAGACCATCTCAAAATGAAGGACTTGTTTAAAGAGGGCTGGAGATATAGCTCAGTGTGGGGGCCCTGGGTTCCGTCTCTATATCACCAAAAAATGACCCCACACACATACAAGACCATGGTCCGACATCTGTACGTTACCCACTTCACTGGCACCCCACACAGGTCAAACACCCCTGTTGCCAACTCAGAGCCCCTCCAACCCTGCACCCCAGTCTCGCTGGTGGCCCCCTCTGTGATTCCTCTCTGGGTCCCCCTTCTAGACTTGTGCAGAGATGATCGTGCAGGCTGCACCCGAGTCTCTGCCCACCCTCCCCTTCCCCACAGCCTGTGCACTCCCCACCTGGGTCCTGACCAGTGGACCCGGCTCTCCCAGTGCCCTGTGGTGGCTCTCATCCTGTCCTGAGTGATCATGACTTCCTCCACTTTACCTTTCTGAAATAAAAAGGATTGGGACCTGAAAGGGGCACAGGTTAAATGCGGTTTCCCATGTGCCCTGGGGAGGAGGCCTCCTGGCTGCAGGCTGCTCCCCGCACACCACACAAGCTGCTTCAGTAACCCAGTTTGCCAGCCCAGCATCCGGAGCTGCCCCATTAACCAGGACAGAGTTTCCTGGATTCCTGTGTGCATTAGTGGCGGCCCAGCCCAGGTCAAATGTCAAACCCTGGGCTGCTAGGGGAGACAACTGGGACTAATTAGACTGCTAATTGGCTAAATGGGGATAGGGAGAGTGGCCTCCCATCCTAGCAGGGAGCCAGTTCCACTGGGGTGAGACCTGGAGAAGGCAAATGTCCCCCACTTTTATGTCTCGACCCCTTTGATGTCAGTGGCCCCAGTGAGCCGGGACTGGCTAGCAGGGCTGGCTGGCGTCTGTCTGCTTGCCTTTTCCGAGATCCATTACCTGGGAGCTGCCGCTTCCCCTGCTGCTTTTCCCAGCCTCCAGCTGATTTCCTGTGGGACCGTAAATGGGCAGCTAGGTGGGAGGGCAGTGGGTCAGTGACCCATCTCTGACTGCAGTGATGGATATTTATTGAGTGCTGGCCCTGTGTGCCCATGGTGCCGGGCTCTGCAGGGTGCACAGGTCAGCTGGAGTCTGCTGGGAGACATGGGTGGGAAGCTGTGGGGAGTCGAGGGCCAGCCTGAGATGGCACAGGAAAGTCTCCGGGGAGGGAGAGTGCCCACTGTCTCTGGAGGAGGTGTCTTTGGAGACACCTTTACAGAGAAGGCAAAGGGACACATCTGGGGACCCATTCCCAGGGCAGCAGTAGCCAGCCAGGGCTTTGGAATTAGTGACTGACAGCCTACGGGTGCGTTGCAGGACACTGTTCTGGCTGCCAGCCTCCCCGTCCCCTTGCTTTGCAGATCAATGAGCTGAGCAATGTCCCTGTCCCTGTCATGCTCATGCCAGATGACTTCAAAGCCTACAGCAAGATCAAGGTGGACAATCATCTCTTCAATAAGTAAGCGGCCGCCCACGTGGGCTCAGCTGTGGGCCAACCCGGCTGGCAGGGTGGGACGGTGACACCTGGCATGCAGGGCTGACAGCCAGATTGGGAGGCGTGTTTATTCTGTGCCTGTCCCCACATTTTCTTGTCGTCACCTCCCATCAGCTGCCCGCAGTGTCCTTTGGGGCCATGCATACGTGGCTGGGCCAGTGACTGGACTTGGGCTGCCTCGGGAAGCAGCAGGGTACTCTTGCCTTGGAGTGGCCCAGTGCTCTGCTTTGCAGCAGGCTGAGCCTGGTGCTCAGGGGTGCCCCCCCCATCGTGTCCTGCAGCCCCCATCGTCCGTTCACCTTCCAGCCCACTCGGGGTGTTGATGCCTGCAAGCCTAGCCGAGGTGGGAAGAGCGCCACGGTTGCAGGCCAGCCTGGGCTGCACAGCGAGACCCTGTCTCAAAACAGCAGAAACAAAGCAGAAAGCCTGAGAACGTGCCCTCAGCCACTGCCATCAGAGTAACATCTGAAAGCCCTGTCTCCGCAGCTGCCACTGCTAAGGGGCTATCTAAGGAGGAGAGGCAGCCCTGGACCCAGGCAGAGGCCAGGCTCTCCCCGTGGGCGCTACACCTCCTCTCTGCAGGGCCCGGCCTCTGGTGGAGCTCAGCCTTCACGGCTTGGCTGTAGACATGGGGAACCGGAGCCAGGCACAACGATACACACGTGTGCCCAGCCTGGAGGAGGCTGAGGCAGGAGGGCCAGGCCCGAGTGCTGAGGGCCACCCTGGGCCATTTCACTGACAAGGCTGCTCAGTGGTCTGGAACTGGCCCAGTGCACACAAGAGGAAAAGCCAGGGAGGAGCAGGTGGACTCCCAGGGGGTAGCTGCTGGCCAGGCCCCAGCCTCCTGTCTGCTGCCCCCAGGGAGAACCTCCCCAGCCGCTTCAAGTTCAAGGAGTACTGTCCCATGGTGTTTCGCAACCTCCGGGAGCGCTTCGCCATCGATGACCAGGATTACCAGGTAGGGAGCCCGAGCCAGGAGGAGGTGTGGCTGCCCGCCCTGTCACGCCAGCCCCTCCTCAGTGAGTCCCCAGAATTTGGCCTCTGAGAGCAAATAAGGAAGACTTTGAGGGCGGTGTCACTTCTCACTGCATGTGAGTGTTGCCTTCAACCTGTCCCCATCCTGCTGGTGGATGGGGCAACACAGCAGGGCAGCTGTCCTCTGCAGGGGTGACCGTGTGCAGGCCATCAGGAAATGGGCAGGAGCACATCCTGGCAGCAGGGACACTGGGTGGGCCGGAGTCTGCACCTCTGTCCTCCCGGGCTTCTTCCTGGTGTAGGCTGGGGCCGGGTGGCGGAGCTGGGGTCCTCATCGTGGTCCTCAGTGGGGGCTGTGCGGGACACAAGTGCCCTGACCAGCAGGGCGAGGGGTGAAAGGAGGGGTGCTGGAGCCCTGAGTGGAGTCAGAGGCTCCCCAATATTGCCAGGGTCACCAGTGTCAGGAGCCCATACCGGAAGTGAGGGCAGTGAGGCCGGTGCTCAGAGAGGAGACCTGGCGTCCTGTGTGGGCCATCAGTAACTTTGAGTCTGACAACGGTTCTGATGTGCACAAGGAGGGACGGCAGGGAGCCAGGGCACCTGACTACCCGCATAGCATCTCTGCGTGGAGGACACTGCTTTTGAGGGGTGCTTCTTTGTCAAGGGCAGCCCAGAGCCCCTCATGCCTTCAGGCTTAGCTTCCCCCAGAGGTCACGCTGTCCTTTCACAGAGAGGGGAGCCCTAGGCTGGGAGCTAGAGCACCTGCCTATAATTGTCACACTCAAGAAGGTGAGGCAGAAGGCTCTCGGGGTCCTGGCCAGCAGGCCAGAAGGCCAGACTCGAGTCACCATGAGAGCCGAGCTTACGGAAATGAGACTAGGATCCTCAGCGATGAGGAGAGGCCTGGCATTTCTGTGAGAAGATCCATGCGACGCGGGACAGTTGGGCTGGGGGCAGCCAGGTCTCCTAGAGGTTCCCCGGTGAATACTTGCCCTGGGCCACTTCCCCTTCAGCACCCGCTTGAGGGGAGTGGGGACAGCAGGGTGTGGGGGGCCGTGGGTGGAGGCAAGGGGCACCCCTTCTGTGGGAGGTTTTCCAGTGTCTGGCCACTCGGGGACAGTGAGATTGTGTCCTCTTGCTCTGAGCATGGCCTGTGTCACCCTGACACTCTGCCCTGCTGTGCTGTAGGCAGGGACCCTGTGGGCAGAGAAGTGGCTGCTCCCAGGGTCTGGGAGGACCCAGGCCGTGAGACCAGGTGTGGAACCCAGCTCTCCACAGCTGAGGCTGCCATAGTTCCGGGGTGCACTGGGGTCACAGCAAGGGAGCGTCTAGGCAAGCCCACTCTGTACTGTCTGGGATCTGGACGGTTTAGGCTCCACTCGGGTTCCCTGGACAGGCCTTCAGAGAGAGCCATGCACACCAGAGGCTGGGGCAGCAGGTCTCCCCAGGAAGACACATGTCGTTTGCTCCACAGAACTCGGTAACACGCAGCGCCCCCATCAACAGCGACAGCCAGGGCCGCTGCGGCACGAGATTCCTCACCACCTATGACCGGCGCTTCGTCATCAAGACTGTGTCCAGTGAGGATGTGGCCGAGATGCACAGCATCCTAAAGAAATACCACCAGGTACAGCCAGTGACCCACAGTGACCACGGGCTGCCTGCATATACAGGGAGGGCTGGCTGCTTCCATCAGAGCGAGGAGACTGCGGGATCACGGGTGTGGGGCTGGACTGTCCCCTGAGTAGGGTCAGGGGCGGGGGTCCAGGGCAGCAGCTGTCCAGTGCAGCCTGGGGACCCTGTGAGCTGGCTCACTCCCCTCCCCACCATGGAAGCCCTGGCGCTCCCGGCCCGACAGTGCCATCCTGGGCCGGGCACACTCCAGTACACGAGCCCCAGGCTTTCCCTCCGCCTTCCTGCAGTTTATTGTGGAGTGTCACGGGAACACGCTGCTGCCTCAGTTCCTGGGCATGTACCGCCTGACGGTGGATGGCGTGGAGACCTACATGGTGGTCACCAGGAATGTGTTCAGCCACCGGCTCACTGTGCACCGCAAGTACGACCTCAAGGTAAAGGCTGGCCCCTGCTGGGGCAGCAGGACCTGTGTTGGTGTGGACAGGTGACCTCAGGGTCAACATGCTGATGGCATGGGGACCAGAAGCTGCTTGAAGTCTAGGCAGTGGTGAGTGGAGATATTCAAAGCCCCAAGTGTCCCCTCCGTAGGTGACAGTCCACACACCTTGACCCTGCCTGCAGGCGTGCACTCCTGGGCAGTGGGACAGGGACAGGCGGCCTGGGGCCCTGCCAGGTCTCTGGAGCCATGCTGTTTACACCCTGCTTCCTGTCTGCATCCTTGCTAAAAGGAAGGTCCCCAAAGGGGCGTCCTACAGGCCCAGCACTCAGGAGGCTGAGGCAGAAGGATCACCACAGCCCACAGTGAGGCCCTGTCGCAAAAAGCCACAAAAAAAGAAGGAAGGAAGGAGGGTCCCTGGGCAAGGGCGGGCTGCAGCCTGCCTCAGGCACATTCTGTCTCGGGCACTGGCTGAGTTCCCTGGGCGGTCAGTGCTGTGAGGGGCTGCATGGGGGTGGACAGCGTCCTCTGATGGCTCTTGCCCTTGCAGGGCTCTACTGTCGCCAGAGAAGCGAGTGACAAGGAAAAGGTACGCGAGTGTGGAGTGTGGGGGCGGCCCCTCCGCTCAGGTTAGGAGCTTCCGCTGCCCTCCCCTCGGCAGCCCCCGCCCAGCTCCAGTCATGTAGCTGTCGCCCTTGGCCCAGGCGCAGGTCCCCATCTCAACTCCTGCCCTTGCCAGCTTCGACCCACCCTGTCCCAGTTGGGTGAGGCAGGGGCTTTCTGAGCTCCGATGGAGGCAGGCACCACGGAGAGGACCCTCATGGGCTGGCAGGGTGCCTCCTGCCACCCCTTTGCTGTCCGTGGTCCCTGGGGAACAGGGGCCTGTCCTGTCCACCCTGACACCGCCGTCTCTCTCCCAGGCCAAGGACTTGCCCACGTTCAAAGACAACGACTTCCTCAACGAGGGCCAGAAGCTGCACGTGGGTGAGGAGAGCAAGAAGAACTTCCTGGAGAAGCTGAAGCGGGATGTGGAGGTGCGTAGCACCCAGTGCTTCTCCCCCGCCATCTGAGCCCCTCCTTCCTAGCAGCCTACCTGTGGGCAGCGGGGTCCCTGTGGGGGCATCTCAGGCTCAAGATGCCTCAGCTGGGCCCTGCTTGCCTTCTGCTGCCCTTTTCCTGTCTCTGCTTTTTCAGTGGAGCCAGGACTGAAACAGTGCCCACCTCTGAGCCCCAGCGCCAGCCCCACCTTCTCTCTGAGTCCCCTGAAACCCTGTTCAGCACAGATGGGGCCACCAAAAAAGCAAAAGCGGACATGGTGGCACATGTCTGCCATCCCAGCATTCAGGAGGCTGAGGCAGGGAGGATCGTTGTGAGTTTGAGACCAGCCTGGGCTACAAAGTGAGCCCAAGGCCAGCCTGAACTGCACAGAGAGACCCTGTCTCCAAAAAGGGGCTGGGGATTTAGCTCAGCAGCATAAGGGCCTGCCTTGCAAGCAGGCAGTTGTGAGTTCGATCCCTGGTACTGATCAAAAGGAAAAAGACAAAAAAAAAACTCCTAACCCTCGCTGTCCCACCTTGGGTGCTAACAAAGCCCAGGTGCCTGTTCTGACTCTGCCTGGGACCCTGTTAGTGGCTTCTGCGTTGCAGCCACCAGGGGGAAGAACCCTAGAAGCGCCACCCTGCTGCGTTTTAGTGCTGGAGCCTCCACTGCCTGCCCCAACCCCTGCATGGGCTGAGGACTCTGAGTTGCAGTGGGAAACCTACTCTCCTCCATGGGGCAGGACGCCAGCCTTTGTGCTGGAACCCAGGAGGCCCCAGTTATTGTGCCCCCTCTGGGCTGCTGTCCTGTAGCCTTGGCCCCTGCCTCCCCATGGCGGGACCCCATGGGTGGGTCTCCCTACGGTGTCTCGTCCAGCAGGGTGAGACGGGTCCATGTTCCCTGAGTGTCCTGTAACCTCTCGGGTCACCTGTCCCCACCACAGTTCCTGGCGCAGCTGAAGATAATGGACTACAGCCTGCTGGTGGGCATCCATGATGTGGACCGAGCCGAGCAGGAGGAGGTAGAGGTGGAGGAGCGTGCAGAGGATGAGGAGTGCGACACGGACGGTGCGGGTGGCCTGCTCTGCTCGTACGGGACACCACCTGACAGCCCTGGCAACTTGCTCAGCTGCCCCCGCTTCTTTGGGCCGGGGGAATTCGACCCCTCGGTGGATGTCTATGCCATGAAGAGCCACGAGAGTAAGTAGGCCCCTGCACCCCATCCACCTCCTCAGGTGCCACGGAGGCTGGGTCTGCCCTGCTCACAGCACGGCTGGACCCTATCCACTGTGGCTGCGAAGTCAGCCAAGGCAGGGCGTGGTCAGGCACGGTGGTGCATGCCTGCCTTCCCAGCACTGGGAGGCTGAGGCAGGAGGGCCAGGCTGGAGCTCCGGGTGAAGGCCCTGGGACAAGGGGGTGAGAGCTTCTGGTAGGGACGGTTGGTCCCTCCTGGTGCCTGTGTGACCCGCTGTGGAGGGGTCCCGGGGCAGGCGGCTCTGCTCTTCCACTGCCCCTCTTCCCCACTGCCCTCTCCTCCCCAGGCAGTCCCAAGAAGGAGGTCTACTTCATGGCCATCATAGACATCCTCACGCCCTATGACACTAAGAAGAAGGCTGCGCATGCCGCCAAGACGGTGAAGCATGGGGTGAGTGGGCACCCGGGCATGGCCTCCACTCCGGCCCCAGGCTGGGGAGACCCGGCCTGTTTTCTCCCAGCTTTGCCCCCCAGCTGCTGGGCAGCTCTCGACCCTGTCTGAGCTGCCAGGAGGAGCTGGTTACACCTGCACCAGCCGCTGTGGCTCGGTCCCTTGCAATGTCCTCCCCGGAGACGGAGGCCTCTCCGCTGCCTGGATGCAGGCCTGGACCTGTGCTTTGGGAGTGGGCAAGAAGTCCTGACCCCCTTGGGCCACTTCCTGCTGGCTCTGACCCCACAAAGGCCCCCAAGAGTCAGGCTTCTCCCTGCCCAGCCTCCCACAGATGAGGGCAGGAGCTGACCCTTCTCCGCCTTCTCTTGCAGGCGGGGGCAGAGATCTCGACTGTGAACCCTGAGCAGTACTCAAAACGCTTCAACGAGTTCATGTCCAACATCCTGACGTAGTGACCTCGGACCTCGGCCAGGCGGGGCAGGAGAGAGGGGCAAGGGCATCGGGGCACTCCAGGGAGGGACAGCCGCGTGTACATGCCACTGTGTCCCTCCCTTCTGCTGACCCGTGCCCCCTATTTTGGTACCACGTCACCTTTTAAGACACTTGGGGCTGGAGGTGACTGGTGGGTTTATTTGGTTTTGATCCTGAAACGCTGCTGCTCCAGGCTTGTGGTTGATCAAGATGGGGGGTCATCATCACCCAGCCCATTCCCTGCCGGCCCACCCCTTCTCTCTGGCACAGTCACCCCCGGGTCCCATCCACCTCCACAGCCCTGCTGCCTGCCGTCATATCTGGACCCTGATGTGCTAGAGCGCTGGGGGGGGGGGGTTATTCCCTGTGACTCCCGCGCCTTCCTCCAGGCTGGCCCTCCTCAGAGGCAGAGATCACGAGGGGGGCAGGGTAGTCCTGACAGGGCGGGGACCATCACCCATGCTCAGGCTTCTGGGCCCCGAGCCTGCCTGCCAGGGCTGCAGAGGACTGGATAGCACCCTGGGCTATAGGGCCCTGGTGGCTCAGTGCTGTTCCTTCGGCCCCTCAGAAGCTAATCACATCAGATACGGTTTTCCTGTCTCCATTTGTCTCCTGGACAAGTAGGACAGCAATGTGTCCCCACCTGGGAGTGCAGCGGACAAGCCTAGGGTTGCTTGGGAGTTTCTTGAGGACGTGACCAGGAGGGCCACTTGGGAGGCCCACTGTGGGGGGGCTGGCCCTGCCCTGCCCCTGTCCCCAGGCTGCACCACCCCTGCAGCCCTCTCAGGGCTCTCATCCTCGGAGCCCCCCACGGAAGAGCTCTTTGTGCCCTTATGCAGCTGGTCCACTGAGAAAAGAGACATCTTTCCAGTGCCCACCAAGAGCTGGGGACTTGGCCTGAGAGGGGTGACACTGGCAGGTGACTCAGGTGTAAAGCTGGTTTGTGGAGCATTGCAAGGAACAGGTTTCCTGGGGCTCCTGCTCGCCTGACCCTCAGGTGGCTGGGGACCTCACTGGACTGTGGGGAGCCCCTTTACTCGGCCTGGCTCCAGGAAGGACAGAGGTGGCTCTGAGCAGCAACCCTGGGAGCGTTTGGAACCTCGAGGCACGTGGAGAAGTCGGGACTTGGGAAGGAATCACAGAGGAATCACGTCCGGGCTTGATTTCCCCACCTCATAATCAGGAGTGAAATTCTGGATCTGCTCTGTGCCAGGCCCAGGCCCCTGCACCCATGCTCAGGAGCCTGAGACCCCTGGCGGCCATGCTGCCCTGACCCTGTCACTTTGCCATATGGTGTCCCAGGCGTTACCCGTCCTGCCAGTTACGCAACTACCAGGTATCTAACTCGTTTAACATGGAGTTTCTGTTGTTTGGTTTTCTGGTACATTGTTTACACTGTGAGAGGTGGCGTCCTGCTCCAAACGCTCTTTATGTTTTTCTGACAGTATTGTGGATCGGGTCAAGACATTTGAGCTGTGGTTTGGTAGATTTTAGATTTTTTTTAAAGGTCTTTGTGCTATTTTCAAAACCTTGGGTCTGGCCCTTTAATTCTTTTCGGCATTCAGATGTTCAGAAGCTATTTATCTTGATTTATACAAGTTTTCTTTTTCTGTTTTGTAACGATAAAGACATTCTGTTTGGCTTGCAGTCTGAAAGTGAACTGAGCCCCACATTTTTGGTTCCCTCTCTTCTCCTCAAATCCTGCCAGGTTCCTTCCTGGCCATCTCGGAATACTTGGGGTTCTCCCAGGAGCGCTGGTGTGGGAATTAGGAGGTGGCTGGGGGCCAAGGCCCAGGTGGGGACAAAGGCAGGTTCTGCTCCCAGACTCTCATTTTGCCCCTGACAAGGTCACAGTCACAGCTCCTCCTGTCCCCAATGCCCTGTCCTGGAAAGTCCATACTGGGACACCCTTGTTTCTAGCCCCTAGTGGACCCCTGACTGATGGCCCAGTCGTGGGTCCCTACATGGGCTCCTTCCTTGTGCTCCGTGTCCCAGGGCGGCATCCTGGGTAGCCAGGTGGCCAGCACTTCTGGCGGCACTGTCCTCACCTAGCTCAGGGTTACAGGTCTTGAGTAGCACCGCCCTCCCACTGGGCAGCTCTTCCTCCTCCCCCAAGGAAGGCGACCCCAAGACCCAGGCCTTTCTCAGTAGCCAGTCCTGCCCCCTCGTCTGCTCCTCAGCCTCTGGGTCCTGGCTTGGGGCTCCCCCAAGGCAGGAATGTAGGGGAGCACCCTCCAAGAGAAATGCATCCAGATGGCACCCCCAGTCTGCTAGCCATTTGCACAGTGTGAGGGGTGTCCCTGTGGGGTGGAGGCTCAGGCCACTCCTCAGGCCACTGAGACACTGAAAGAGGCTATGGATGAAGCTTCCTGCCACGGCCTCGGGGAGCCGGAGCTGCTCGGCACCTTGAGCATGGTGTCCGGTCATTGTGAACAAAGAATGTGAACCCAGTTCCCGGTCACCTGGGGGGCAGAGGCCACCCCTCGCCACACAAGTCACCTTGTTTCCCACTGCAAGTTCCACTTTTTCAATAGGAATTTTCAGCCCCCTGTGCTCGTCTAATGTCTGCTCTCAACAGTTCGAGGCCCTGTTCCTGTTTTAAACTGCATGCATGTTACGATGCCTCTCCAACTCGAGGGAAATAAACCGTGAGAAGCTTTGTGTACCCCACTGTGTGATCCTTTGGCAGTGCCCCCCCCCCAAGGTTTCGGTGGCAGTGGCATCTGGATGGGGGGTACAGATGCTGCGTGGGCCGGTGCAGGGAGTGCAGGAGCACATGGCCCCAAGCTGCCCACTGTCCCCACCCCAGCCCAGGGGGTGACTGGTGAGGAATAGGCACCCCAGCACCAGACACAACCACCACAGGGCCTCTGTGAACTCCACCTTCGTTCTCTGTCAGGCAGAGCCAGATGGAAATCTGTTTCTCGGGGTGCCGCCCTAGCCCAGCGGCGTCATTAGGCCCCCAGGCCTCTCCAGGATCTTGAGTCAGTCACACACCTGTAACCCCATCAGTCAGGAGGCCGAGGCAAGGTCAGGCCCACTCTCAGAGTAGAGGGCTGGGAAGGCCACTCCACACCACACAGAAGCAGGCGCGCTCTAGAGGCTGAGGCAAGAGGGTCACAGAAGCCTAGGAAACCTGCCCAGGATGACTGCAGTGACAGAGTGCTTACAGGCATGACAGGAGGCCCCAAAACAAGGCAGAGTCAGGGCGTACACTCCAGGCTGATGTTGGGAACTTTCTAGGGTGACCACTGAGGTTGCCAGCTCACTGGGGGACTAACAGTGGGGAGACCCCTGCAAGGTCAGGAAGCACCGGCTGGATACCAGCTGAGGGATGGCGGCTGAGCCTCGGTTTCCCCACAGCCTAGGGGCAGAGGCTGGGCTTGGTGCTGAGGCTGCCACCCGCCTGTCCTGCCCTCAGGTGGCCTGGAAGGAGTGGCTTGGTCCCCCACCCCTAAATAAGCCTCTGGCCATGCTGGGCTTGGCTCATCGGGGAGTGGACGTGGGCCCTGGTGCAGCCCAGGGCAGCGAGAGAAGAACAGGAAGCCAAGGTCTTTGTACCCACCGGAGGGAGAGAGCTGTGGAAGATCAAAGACAACAAAGCAGGAATCAAAGGCTACTTTATTTAAAAAAAAAAAAAAAAAAAAAAAGTTTCTAGAACAACGCTAGTCCATCCGGGCCTTCAGGGTCCTGGTGGTTATCTTGTCCTTCTCACTGCAGAGGAAGAAAATCACAGGGGCCATTGAGACAGCCACTGCACCCCAGCCTCCCTCCACAGCCCTGGGTGCCGCACCCCACGGAGGGTACCATGCCGCCTGTCCTGTCAGTGGCCATCCAGGGGAGCCTCTCTCGGACAGTGGCTCAGAACTGGACCAAAATGCATCCCAAGAAGGAAAGGAGCTGCCAGGCTGAGGCTCCACAGCCAGCTCAGGGTGTGTATGTGTTTACACGCGTGTCACCCCAGGAACACGGGGGCACTTGTGTGGCCAGCTGTGCTCTTCGTGGTAAGCAGGTGTCAGGAGGAAAAGGCTCAGATGCTGACTGGGGTGGGGGGAAGCAGCCGGGAGGGCACCTGTTCCTGTAGTCAGGTTCCCAGTGACAGCCCCAGCCGTCAGAGGGCTGGGCGGGGTGAGAGTTGGTCCCTAGAGCCCAGTGCAGCAAGCTGGGAGTGCAGTGGAGGGCCTGGGCAAGGGGGGGAGGCGAGGGCCGGAGGGTTACCCGACAGCCTGGAGGGCCTCGGCAGGGTCCCTATCACCTCTCTACTCACATGACGTGGACGATGACCCCCATGCCTGACACAGCATCGCGGTCCACGGCGTTGAGCATGGCTTGGGAGATGGTCTCAAACAGATGCTCGGGGTCCTGCAACACGGCACAGCCTTGCAGAGCCCGCTTGGGGCGCCCCAAGCCCTGGCCCTGGTGCCAGGTGCCAGGGACAGTTCCCACAGGCTGCACTCATGCAGGGCCACCTCCTCGGAATGAACAGGACCAGGTGAAGGGTTCCAGCCTGCATCTTCCCTGCTAGCGAGCAGCACGCCTCGGGGTGAGAATGGAGTCCTTCCATAGAGCTCAGCATGTCCCTCATAGAGCCTCTGCCCGGCGGAGTCCCTGGGGGGCTCAGGCACCCAAAACCTCGCCCTACCTGAGCAGGGTCCCCACACCTGCCCCTGCTGCCACCTCTGTGGCTGACCAGGACACTTGGTGCCTGGACTTCTGCCTCCTGCACTGGGGCTTAAGGGACCGCGTTGTCTGACTCTGGCCACCCTCCTGTCCCCACTGCCACTGCCCCAGGGTCTCATTGCTCCTGCAGGTGACAACAGCCAGTCACCGGCTGCCCTGCCAGCCTCTGAGTCCCTGGGGTGGCTGAGGTCTCACCCCACGCTGTGCCCAGTCTTGTGGAGCCCCATACCACCCCCTGGTGTCACCAAGCAGAGCTGCTCTTCCTCCCTCTCAGCACTGTACCCTGCAGCGCTGGCCTGCACGGGCAGCCACCTGCCCCAGTTGAGGTGACAGTGGCACGGGAGGTACAGTGAGTCTCACCAGCCAGGATTCCAGCCCAGACCCCGGCGGCACAGCCATGCTGTCATGCTCTGACGGACACGGGACTCAGGGCCAGCCCAGGCTGCAGGAAGTCCCTGCCCGGGCGGGCGCCCCACTGTCGCCCCATGTCAGCGCTCACCATGTTGGGCTCCCACAGAGACTCGCACATCCCGTACATCTGCTCCGCACAGGTGCCGCTGACGACAAAGTCGTCGGTCACCATGGGGCAACCGATGAGGTCTAGGGAGCAGATGAAGGGCTGGAAGGTCTTGGGGTCCAGCCCAGCGATGACCGGTTCTGTGTAGTAGGGGCCGAACCTGCAGGGTCCAGGCAGAGAGAGAAAGCAGAGGTAAGCATTGCCCGGGCCACCCAGCTGTTCAGGAACCTTCCCTGGGCAGCCGTTAGCCCACAGAGAGTTCCAGGGTTGGGTCATCTTTTTTCTTTTTTTTTTGTCTTTTTGAGACAGGGTCTCACTATGCAATTCAGACTGGCCTTAAACTCACTTTGTAGCCCAGGCTGGTCTCAAACTCACAGTGATCCTCCTGCCTCAGCCTCCCGAGTGCTGGGATTACAGGCGTGAGCCACCACGCCCGGCTCTGGGTCATCTTTTTTTCTTTCCTTTCTTTCTTTTTTAATGTGCCACGAATCAAACTCAAGACCTTGCATTTGCCAGGCAGGCACTTGTGGCAGAGCTATATCCACAGCCCCGGCTGGCTCATCTTTTCTCTGCAGCTCACCTCCTCCTCCTTCCCCGCCGTCCACCGCCATGCAGTTGTTTCTACATTTGCACCTCTGCTCCTTTCGTGTTTTTATTCTGAGTTCAGGTCAAGTGCAGAAGCTTTGTAGTTACAAAGGTTAGTAACAAAACCTCTTTTTTAATCACTGATCAGAAATGACTAGTCCTAGACAGACAGACAGACAGACAGACAGACAGACACACACACACACACACACACACACACACACAGCCCTACTGTTTTATCCTACAGATTGTGTTCCCAGAACCAGAGATCACGCATCAGGAACTGGAATGCATGATGCACATCTGTCTGTTTCCTTCCTGGATCCATTACAGTAAGTGTGGATCTCAGTGGAAACCTCCACTCCTTTAGGGAGCAACTGAGGCTGTTTGTAGGAAAAGTACTAAAAAACAAAAACTAAAGTTAACAGAGAAGACGCTCACACTTAAGTTTTGTTCTGAGCCTCCTGGCAGGCAAGGCGAGGAGAGATTTTAGTGGAGCTGAGTTAATGCCATGTCCACTGAGGCAGACGGCCGCTCACTGCAAACTTGCTCTAGACACAGTGCTAAGAAGCTGTCTCAGGGGTCTTCGGGTATGAAGTACTCAGTAACTAGCAGTGGCAGCCTCCACCTGACATGGGTGTCACCCCAGCTTGTCAGCCTGCGGAACTCTCTAAGGGCAAAACCTTCAGAATTAGCTGTGTAAACAGTAATGTAGGCTGGGCACAGTGGCACACACTTATGATCCCAGGACTCTGGGAAGCTGGTAGGGGATTGCTAGTTCAAGTTCCATCCAGGAAACTTAGTCACACCGTCACTGAATAAATATATTAAGAAAAAAGGGGCTGGGGGTTTAGCTCAGCGGCATAAGCACCTGCCTTGCAAGCAGGCGGTCGTGAATTTGATCCCTGGTACCGATAAAAAGGAAAAAGACCAAAAAAAAAAAAAAAAAAAAAAAAAGAAAAAGAAAGAAAAAAGGGTTGGGGCTGGGCGTGATGGTGCACACCTGCAATCCCAGTCCTCAGGAGGCTGAGGCAGGAGGATCATTGCAAGTTCAAGATCAACCTGTGCTACAAAGTGAGCACATGGTCAGCCTGAACTGCATGGTGAGATCCTGTGTCAAAAAGACCAAAAAAAAAAAAGTCCTGGGGATATAGTTTAGTATGAAAGCCCTAGGGTCTCTAAGATAGCCAGAAGAACCAAAGAGAAAAAACTACACCAGCTACGGGACTAGGTAACAATTTTGAAAGCTAAAGTATATGACCTTTTTCTTTTTCTTTTCAGGACAGAGTCTCCCTATGTAGCCCAGGCTGGCCTTGAACTTGCAAAGACTCTCTCCTGCCTCAGCTATCCAAGTGCTGGGGTTACAGGTATGCACTATCATGCTCAGCATATGACCTTTCTATGAAGTCTAAAATTATTTTAAACTTGAAAGTTAAAAAGAAAAAGCTCCACTGGTACCCTGGCCACCTAGCTGTTTTGCCAGGAAGGGGTGAAGGGTCCCAGGGTACCTTCAGTTCCATTTGGTTCGGCACTGAATTGTCCTGACACAGCCAACCTCCTCTGAGGCCCCTTTGTGTGGCAAACGTGGTGCTGCGAGGGGTGCTGGGGTGGCTCTGGTCCCGGGCCCCCAAACATTCCTTGGTGGGGCAAGAAGCAAGTTCACTGCTATTTGCATTCGGTGCCTTCTAGGTTTCTCTTTTTGTGGTTCTAAGGATGGACCCAGGGTGCCATGCATGCTGGGCAAGCACTGTATTACTGACCTACACTTCAAGCCCTTTTATTTTGAGTCAAGGTCTCCCAGGCTTGAACTTGGGATCCTCCTGCCTCAGCCTCCTGAGTAGCGAGGATGACAGGTCCATTAATGAGGTGGCCCCTGCCTTTTTTTAGTTAAGTCACTTTTGGCCTATTTGGTTGTCACACCCGGAGAAGAGACAGCCTCACAAATAAGAACAAGGAAGAGGAGGAGGAATGCCCTTGAGGGTCCCCTGCACCCCCATGCTGTGACCCTGGGTCCCGGGCCGCACCCCACTTACCGCCTCTCGTATAGCAGGTTGGCCACCATGCTCATAAGGGTGTAGGGCTTGATCTGCCGCCCTTCCTTCAGCTCATACAGGTTCAGCCGGAACTTGAGGCGCTGAGCACTAAGGGGGGAAGGAAGGAAGTCACCTGCCCCTAGCCGGGGCCACCTCACAGCCACCAGATGTCGAGGCCTGCCAGGCTGGGACAAGGCCTCCGGGAGACACAGCACAGCCCTAGGGATGACTCCGGCGTCCTCTTCCAGCCAAGGAAACTGAGGCCCAGGGAAATGAGTGCTTGCTGTCCGCAGGAAGCAAGGCAGTGAAAAAAGTCCCTTAAAGAGCTGGGCGTGGTAGTGTACACCTGTCAGCCCAGCACTTGGGAGGCTGAGGCAGGAGGATCATTGCAAGTTTGAGAGAGACCAGCCTGGGCTACAAAGTGAGCTCAAGGCCAGCCTGAACTGCAGAGCGAGACCCTGTCTCAAGAGGAAAAAAAAAAAAAAGGCCCTTAAAGAAAAGGCGGGATGGTGTGGGGCTTCTTTGATCCCCGGTATCAAAGAAAAAAAAGGAAAGGCAGGGCATGTGGGGACCGTGGCAAGGGACAGAGGGTGGTGTTCCCACCTGTGGCAGGACAGGAGACAGGGTGAGCTAGGTCCTGACTTGGGAAATTCTGTCCCTGACTTCACAGGAAATCATAGAATACTTCCCGGCAGACTCCCGCCCCTTAGAGGCTGCTTGGCCTTTTCTTTTTCTTTTTTCTTTGAGACTTGGTACTTGCTAGGTAGCAGAGAGCTCACTTAGGTAGCCCAGGCTGGCCTCAAACTTGTGGCAATCCTCCTGTCTCAGCCTCCCAGAGTGCAGGGATTGTAGGTGTGCACTGCGGTGCCGGGCGCAGCTTTTTATGAACTGCTGGAAGAATTGGTGCTCCGGAGACCACCACCTTCCTGTGACCACACCGTCCGTCTTAAGGTCCTAGCCTAGTCTTCTCCTCTCTTCCAACTTCTCTTCCACCTCCACTGTTGAAAAGGAGGTCCAGCTCCTGAAACATGACTTCTTAGCCCGCCCCCACACTGTGCCCCTCAGTACCTCCCAGCCCTGAGATGTACCCTCAAGCCCCCCTCACCTGGTAAGACGCCTTCTCCCCTCAAAATTAGGGTCATCAACATCTAAGTCACACGGTGCCACGATGCCTGTAATCCCACCACTCAGCAGGGAATTTTCCCAGCATAGTTTTCCTTCCCTTCTATTTTTGTTTAAATTTTTTCCCCTTCTTCTGTTTTTTTGCCCAGTTGCTGGCACTGAACCCAGAGCCCTCCACATGCCAAGTGCATACTCTACCACCAAGCAACAGCCCCAGCCCCTTGGAATTTTGTCTATTTGTTTTTTGAGACAGAGCCTCATAGTGTAGTCCAGGCTGGCCTTGAACTCACTAGGCATTTCTTTTTATTTTTTGGTACCAGGAATTGAACTCACGACCTCATGCTTGCCAGGCAAGTGCTGTGCCTCTGAGCTCTATCACAGGCCTTGAACTCAGTAGGTATTATAGGCTGCCCTCAAACTCAGGGCGCTTCTCCTGCCTCAGCCTCCCAAGTGCTGGGATTCCAGGTGTGCATTCTCACACCAGGCTCCCTGAATGAGTATTTTCCAGCAAGGTTGGTTGAATCGAGGACATAGAACCTTTGCACACAAAGGGCTGACTGCATGCAACAAAAAAGATCCTGAGCCTGCGAGTAGCTCAGTGGGAGAGGAAAAGCCTAGCATTCAAGATGCCCTGGGTCCTATCTGCAGCACCAGGAGGAAAAAAGACACAGGTCTCCACCTCAGTGAGTGAGTCCTTCTTCCGCCCCATCCCCAGTATCAAAGCTGCTCAGTAACAGTGCTCAGAAATCCCTTCCAGCCAGGCATAGTGGCACAGGTCTCCCAGCACTCTGGGAGGCTAAAGCAGGAGGTTCTCAAGTTCCAGGCTAGCAAGGGCAACTTATGAAGGAAACCCTGTCTCAACAGGGATGGGGCAGGGGCCACTGAGAATGTAGCTCAGTGTGAAGACCCTGGGTTCAATTTCCAGTACCAGAAAAACAGAAACAAAAAAATCCTTGCTTTCTGACCACCACTTCCGGGACCATTACCTCCACACTTAGGACTCAGACAACCACCTGCTTCATCAACAGACCCCCCCCTCCCACCACAGGACCACTGTTGAGCAGACAGCTGAGCTGGGGGTCAGTGAGCACCACCTCTTTACAAGCTGGTCTCCTTTCTGTGTCCCTGGTTTGCCTGCCAACTAGACCCGAAGTCCTTTAGGGACGAGCACAGACAGCAGGAGGGAGAAATGCACTGGTCCGGGTCAACACTCATCAGCTGGCATCTTGGTCATGATGCTGACCAAGACTCTCAGTTTCTCCGTCTATAAAGTGGGACAGCAACCTGGTGACGCTGAGAATGCATGTAGCAGGCTCAGACTCATGGGCAGTGTCCAGTAGGTGGGTACGACCCAGGGGGGAGGGGTCAAGTGCCAGGCAAGGCTGGCCCAACAGACGCCTGTGCGTGGAAGGCAACCCTTGGCACTTACACTGTCTGGACGTCCGTAGCAAGCCCGGCCAGGCCGATGTACAGCCGATCCCCCATGGGGAAGATCTTCTGGAAGTCCGTGGTCACCATCTGCGCCTGGATCCCGAAGCGCTTGTCCGCGGCGATGGCCACGCAGTTTTTCCCCTTCATGGCCATGACGGCCCCTCCGTTATAGGACATAATAGACTGGGCACACAAAGTGGGGAAGACTCAGCGCCAGGGGCCAACGGCTGCTCCTGCGCGCCCCGCTCTTCATTCTGGGGGCTCCTGAACGCCCCGATCTCCAGCTCTGAAATGGGCTCCGCGTAGCAGCCTGGAGCCTCACTCCTGGTCCTCCCCGCGGTCCGCTCCTTTCGAACTGAAGCCTCTCCTGTCGACCGCCAAACCCTCTCCACCCCTCTAGCCTGCCCGTACCCCCTCCCTGGGGCTGCACTCCTGCCCACTGTCCCCCTTCTTTATTCCATCTCACCATGATTGCTGTCGACTAGAGCCCTCAGTCCTCCTCTGCAATCCCACTACTCGGATCCCAGGTTTCACTGCTCGGACTCTCGTTGCTTTGATTCCATTGGCTGATCAGCCTACTCGTCAAGGCTAACTCGGATTTCTATTGGCTGTACATCCCGTCGGTTAACTGTTCCGGGCAGTTTGGTTGAGAAGCCAAAACGCAGGCGGGGAAAGTGGAAAGTGAACAGTCACTAGAGTGCGGAAGAGCCCGAAGCGGCTTGCATGCCGGGATCGCGGCGGACTTGGCCTCCGGACGCCGTGCTGGGGGCGGGGCCGACATGCACGTGGGCTGGCGGAGCCGGGCTGGGGGCCGCGCGGTCAGAGTAGACACTTGTCAGTGTGCTTCCCTGGGCCTCTTAGTCATACTCCTTGCTCCATTCATTCCAGAAAGCCATACGGCTCCAGGGAACCAGGCGCTTTCCAGGCTCGGTTATTCACTGGCCGGCTCTGTGGGAGGCGCCCATCAGTAAAACTGGACGATACTGCGAGGGGGAAGGGAAGGCGGCGCGGGTGCCCGGTGGCTTCGAGGGTCCGGTTGCAAAGGGGGAAGTCAGGGGGAGTTCTGCTTTGGGGAGCCGCCTACAAGTCGATTTAATGTAACCCCGAATTTTAGATCATCCCACAAAGGACATTCCGGCCCTCTCCACATGTAAAGTGCACCCCGAGAATAGGAGACGCAGAGTCCCTGCAGCCTGCGCTCGGCTCCACGAGTCTGATTACTTTCGCCGGATTTCGCAGCTGTGGTTTCTGCCCCGTGCCAGGTCCGCCTCCCTCCTATTGACTCGCCTCACTGCTACCCCAGCAGTCACCACAGTCTCTGTGGCGCAATCGGTTAGCGCGTTCGGCTGTTAACCGAAAGGTTGGTGGTTCGAGCCCACCCAGGGACGCTATGTTTTCTCTCCAAGAGATTTGGGCCTATTTTTAAATCACAACCACTGAGCATTTCATAGTGAAATGGTAGCAGCGACATGTTTTCTACAGTAAATCGTAAGGTTTGTAATTGTCTTGGAAATAGTTGCTGTCAACTACGCGATCGTTTCTCCCGTGCATCCAACTATTCCGCTCCAGCTCTGAATTCCAAAACCCAGGACAGAGGTTTTTGTCTGCCAGTGCGATTCATTTCATGGTACATTTTTCGTTGGATTAAGAATAAGTTTCCAGCAGAGGTTGATACTTCCTTATTGTCTCCCTCTGCAGACTCGAAATGTCACATCTGGAAGGAAGGAAAGTGGAAAAGAGAGAAAGAGACGAAGGAGAGATGCGACAGAAATGAGAAGGGCTAAGCTGTGATTTACAGAGAAAGAGGGGCAGCCACAGAGAAATGGGTAGGGAGGTGGGAGGAGACCCCGAGAAGATGGTGGGAAATGATTGCACACAGGCGCTAGAAAGGAAACCAGGAAGACAATAGGTACACATTTCCCTGTGCGAGAGGAGGGTGGGGAAACAGACTAACAAAGGACATTGTTTTGGGGGACAGGAGAGCTGTAAAGGACACCAAGGTAAAGGTCTCAGGAAAGCACCATCGGCACCATTTTATAAAGGGATTTATGCAAATGCTAACCCATAGTTTGTGCTGGGGGGGGGGGAGAGAACCTGCCTAGATACTGCCACTAAGCGGTGGCACACAGCGACTCTGTCAATGGCTGTCACCTGGGAAACCCAAGTTCTCCTTGTGCCTGCAGAAGTGAGGCCCAGGGAACCTCAGGAGACAACAAAACTGGGAATCAGTGCTCTGCAGGGTTCCAAGGAGGCCTCTGGTGGGGCGCCCGCCAGCGCCCAGGCACCCCTTCTGAGCGCACATGCCCTGCAGGGCCTTCACCGGCCTTCGAGGGACTGTATGCTAACTGCAGTATTTGACACTGGCCCATTGCAGTTTGTAGCATAAAAACTGGGAAACCAGGGAACTTCAGGTGTGGGAAGGGCTGAGTCTAAGGTCCTGATACTTTACAAAGGCCTGGGCTGGGGAGAGAAAGACTTAAATTGGAGTTTTAGGGGTAGTGGGGTTCACTATGTTCTCCAGTGTGTTGCTCTGTCGCTCATGAAGTGTCCGGGGGCAATGAGTGAGTGTTGCCCTCCAGGATAAATGGGCTGACACTGTCCTTTCTATCAGCTCTGAGGGGTCGTCCTGAGTATCCGTGCGATCATGGGTGGGCTTGAGATAGGTTTGGAGTGGCAGACTGGAGTCCCCACATGCCCTCTTTGAACCAGGGAGGTCTTCGCTGTCGAGATGCCTGCGACAAGCTTGCCTCCCCCTGGGCAGTGGGCATGTCCCGGCTAAGGGCCCCCAATCCACTGGAGCCTTTGCCCTTTGGGAGGGACAGGGAAGCAGGTGGTTGCATGCTCCCGAAGCCTCTCCAGCCGGTTGGGGACTACTCTCTCCCGGCAAGAATCTGGCCCAGCCGGGCTCAGCCGGGGTCACTCGCCAATGAAAGCTGCGGTTCGGGAACGGGGAAGGGAAGAGGCGCTAGAGCTCGGTACCGAAGTGAGTCCTAAGTTGAGCCAACCCTCGCAGGGCGTCCGTGGCACTTGTGGCCAGGTGGTCGAGCTCTTAACAGCGAGTCATGGTGGCCGTCCCTCATACCTGGTGCACACGAATGGGCGGATCGAACAACCTCACAGCCCAAGCAGCATCGATTCGCCTTCTGGGCGCCGACTCCCCACCCCCATGCTCTTCTTGGCCCTCGGACCAGACCCTCAGGGGATGTAGTGCGGCGCCGGGCGGAGGCCGCGAGGGGGGTGAAGGACGCAAAGTACAGGAACCAGCGCGAGGCCAGGAAAGCGCGGGCCACTGTCGAGCCGGCGCCCCATCTCCCTGTCCCCTCCATCCTGCCAATCATCGCAGCCCACTCCCGGCTCCAGCCGGGGTCCCCGCCCCGGGCCCCTCAAGCCCACGCCGCACCCCACGCGCGAGGCTCTGCACTCTGCATTTCTGCCACCCGTGCCCACAGCCGCAGGTCGTGATTCACAGAGGGTCCTCCAGAGTGGACGGGTACCACCCGCCCCGCGGTTGGCGCCCTTTGGAGAGGACGAGGCAGGGCGGCTGCGAACCCCATTTCCGCCCCGTCCTCATTCACCATTTTCCAGGCGCCCCATTTTCCAGTTAAGGTGGGGATCGCAGGGTCAGAGAGGGCGCGTTTGGGGGGAAAGGGGGACTCGTCTTGCAGAAATCACAGGACGGGATCTACCCCTTCAGGTCCAGGGGGCCGTCTGTGAAACAGGGGGCTTTTCCTTATTTGGGGACCCCAAGTACGGCGAGGGGAACCGCGCGCGCCGGCCTCTCCCCCTCCTCTGCCGCTCGCTGCAAACACCCCGAAGGAATGAGGTCACGTGGGTGAGGGGTGGGCGGGGCGACTCGCGTCTGGAGGAAAAAAGCCATTTTGTCCCCCCACGCCGGGCCCTCCTCCCCCGTCCCCTCCCCGCCCCTCTCCCTCCCACCCCGCGGCGCTCGCAAACTCCTTTCTGGCCGCGGGCTGTTCCCCTCCCGCGCCCGGCGAGCGACGCGGCCGCGGCCCCCTCCCCCTTATTCCCTCCCTCCCTCCCATCCCCCTCTCCGGGACCCGCCGGACCCTGAGCCCAGGTAAGGGGACCCGCGTCCTCCTCGGCTCCCGCGCTGGCCGTCCGGGCTGGAGACGCCGCGCAGGGCCGCCCCGCTGCCGAGGTCCCCGCGGGAGCGCAGCCCGGGTCCCCCGCCCGCCCCCCCCCGCCTGCGCCCCGGGCCCACGCCTTCCCGCGCCCCTCTCTGTCCCCTTCCCTTGCCTCCCTTCCAAGATGGCCGCAGCGGACTCCCCCTCCCCGCGGCTCGCGTCGCCCCCGACCACCGCCTCTTTGTGCGGCGGCCCCGGGGGAGACCTGGCGCCCCAGGTGGCGAGAGGAGGGTCTTGGAGGGCTCCCGGGTCGCGCTGGGGTTGGCCCTCGGCCTTGCGCGCCTCCCCCGCGAGCCCGGGCGCCCCCTGGCTTCAGTCGATGACCCCAGAAGGTCTGGGCGGGGGCTCCTCTCCCGTGGGCACAGCGGCGTCGCGGACACGCGCGGACTTGCGGCCGGGAGCCAGGGGACGGGACTTTCTGGTGGCCGTGAGGCCGGAGGAGGGCGCCCTTCCCCGCCGCGGTCCCCTCCTCGGGACGCCCCCCCCAGGGCTCCCTTTCCTGGGTCCCCATGTAGGGCGCCCCGACCCTTTCCAGAGGCCTCGCCAAAAGTTTGGCTCCAGGGAGAGAAGCTCGGGCGGCGGATCAGGGGGAGGAGGGGTCCCGATCCTTGACCTGGACTCCTGGGGAGATTATTGTGGTGTTCCCGTCACATTGGGGGACCGAGGGGATCAACTGTCCCCGGCTTCCCTCCTAGGTAACCCTGATACTAGCCCCAGGGCCTGGGACCCCGACCCCTCCGGCTCGGGCGCGTGCCCTCCTCTCCTGCCCGCGTCGGCCCGGAATTCCTCCTGTCCGGGAGGTGGGGAGGTGGGCTGGAGGCTCCGGGTCCGGGAGGATGTTTTGCCTACAGATTTTACAGGGGTACGCCCCTAGCTTTCCTGGGGTCTTTGTCTCCCACCGCCCTTGCTCACCCCCCCCCCCAACGCTGCCTCAGTCTCTCTGGGGCTCCTCTGGCCGGGGACGGGCCTCCTGCTGTGGCCTCACAGTTCGCGCTGTTCCTGGAACTCCCCTTCGGCCCTCCCTCCGGCCCTCCCTCCGCCTGGCCTGCGAGGTGTTATTACTGCGGTACAGGGAGAAGGAGTATAAAAGCCAGCTCTGTTAGAGCTTCTTCTTTGGGGTAGGGGGAGGTGGTCCCAGGGGATCCCCTGGTTTGAGGTTGGGGCTTGAGGCCTTGGAAGTGTGTTTGGAAAGAGGCAGGAGACATACCTTTGGAGCCGGCCAGTGTCCCTCCTGGGCCAGTGTCCCTCCTGGTGCGGTTGGTTCAAGTTGAAGTCTCGGGAGGTGGGCAGGAAGGGGCACGCTGTTGCCGGGCCTCCCAGAGAGAGCTTGGTTGATGGAACCGTTGCCATGGGAACGGCATGAGAGCCAGAACAGGAAGAGGTTGCATCTTTGTGCAGGTCAGTACTCGTCCCAGAGGAGGTGGCCCCAGAGCTGCCTTTGTTGCCGGAAGCCAAAGGTTCTAATTTACCTCAGGAGGACCTGGGACGCACAAAAGGAAGGTGTGTGCCAGGCCAGTTTCAAGCAGGGCTGTCAGGGTAGGCTGAGCGTGTGTGTGTGTGTGTGTGTGTGTGTGTGTGTGTGTGTGTGTGTGTGTTTGAGTCTGCTTGGCCTTGTGTTGGGAGTGTGAGAGATGAAGGGGGCGTGCCCGGCAATTTGTTGCTCTTGTGTGTGGATTTTGGGGTTTCCTCTTTGATCTTAGGGTTGCCAAGAGATAGGAAAGGAAAGGGAGGGTAAAGTTCAGAAGGAAGCCTGAGGCCTTTTTGTCTGTTTTTTTTCTTTTATTTTTTTTTGGTGGGGGACACAGACAAGGAAGCAGAGCCCTGTGCCATTGTTGATGATTAAGGAAATGCCTGATGGCTGTAATCCCTGCAGTCCTGGAGGCTGAGGCAGGAGGATTGCAGGTGTGAGCCTCGCCTGAGTGACTTAGTGTTTAGTGAGAATCTGTCTCAGAATTTTTTTAAAAAGGGGCTGGGGATATGGCTCAGCGTGAAGGCCCTGGGTTCAATGCCCAGTACTGAGGAAAAAAAAGATCAGAGAAAATTGAGAGAGTTCTGGTGTCCTGGAGCCACAAAGTGGGCAGAGGTTTGGAGCAGGTCTGAGCACAGTGCTGACCTCCCCCTGCCTCAGCTGTCCTCTCTTCCTCCTTTGGGCCCCTGGAGGTTCCCCTCATGGTCTCCTGCTCACCAGGAGACCACCTGTGGGTTAGATGGCCCGTGGAGTCCTGCTCCTGGTGGTCGACTGGGAAAAGCACCCGAGCAAGAGGCAGGTAGTATTTCCCAGGACTGCACTGCTTCTCAGTGTGGCTTTAGACAAATCACGCTTTCTAAGGTCGAGTCCATCTCTGCTGTCATCTGAGTATGACCTTGAGGGACCCTTCCAAGACCCAGAGACTAAAAAAAATAAAAATAAAAAATTCAAACAAACAAACACCCAGAGACTAGCAGTTGAGTGGGGGAAGGCAGGCTGAGTGGGCAGTACTTGGCATCCAGGGGACAGTGAGGCAACTGACGGGAGAGGCCTCTTTGGGGACCAGTGGCTACGAGGAAGTAGCTGGTGCAGTGCCGGAGCTCTGTGGAGGCCTTAGAGGAGCCTGAGCAGAGTCGAGATTGGGTGTTGCTAGCTTTCCCACCGGGCCACCAAGGAGTTTGTGGCATACATGGGGGGCAGAAGATAGTGAGGGCTCTGGACCCCAGCTGGGGCAGAGGCTGTGCCAAGTGCTGGAAGATAGATGGAATCTAGAACCCTGCCTGGTAGCAGATGTGGGAGCGCACACCTGCAATCCCAGTACTTGGGAAGCTGAGGCAGAAGGATCACTGTGAGTCTGACGCTATCCTGGACTACATAGTGAGACCCCGACTAAAAAAAAGAAATTAGAACCCTCTGTGGATGTAGTTGGAACAGGTTTGTTAATTCCCGGAGCTGTTACACACTCGTTATCCCAGTGCTCTAGGAGCCTGAGGCAGGAGGATCGAAAGTTCAAGCCCAGTTGGGTGACAGCATCTTAGCTGGACCCTGTGGCCCTCGGTTGTTTTTTTTTAAAGGGCTTGGGATGCAGCTCAGTGCATCCCTGGGTTCAATTCCAGAACCCCCCCCCCAAAAAAAAAGAACCCCAGCACTTCCCGAGGTCACTTTCAAAGGATATCTGCCACCTGCCCTTCTGTGGTCTCCGGGAAAGGGATGCTCTGGGGAAGCCGCTGCTGTTTACCCTCACTCTCAAGCTGGCTGGCCTCAAGGGTAACCATGGCAACCAGGTGAGAGGCCAATCAGTGCTTCCCCCACCCCACCCCTGCTGCTAAAGTGGCCTTCCCAGGTCTCCTGGGATGGGAAGGGGAACAGGAGGAGGCCGCAGCACTCATCGCACTGGGCCCTTTGGTCTGCAGGGCTCTGGAGGTGGCCAGTCGGAATCCTCACAGGAAAAAGAGGGTGAGGGGTGCTGCCACTGGCCATGGGGGCACCTGTGTGGGCCTCAGTGTTTTGCAAACACGGCAAGTTTGTGAATGAGGCAGCTAAGGCGGTGTGAAGAGCCTGCGTGCTTGGGCATGCATGCGAGTGTGTGTGTGTGTGTGCATACGCATGCATGTGTGTGTGTGTGTGTGTGGGTGGGTGTTTGAAGGCTTGTTCCAGCAGCCTGGACCCCCACTGTACGTCTTTCACGTGTGTCCTGCGGACACATCTGGACACAAGACACGCAGGCCACCTGGCCATGCTCAGTGTCTCCATGGCCTGAGGACAGCCCTGCACGAAGTCCTGGTGCCTGAGGTTGTTCTGTCTGCCGGAGGGTTGTGATAATATTTGGGCGTCTTGCCAGGGACAGGGTTACTATGGAAACGCCCAAACAGTGGAGTAGCCAGTAGCCTCCTGTGTAATTGTGCAGGGGACCTGTGCAGGGAGGGCTGGCTGAAGCCACCCTGAGTGGGGCTGGAGTCCCCCCAACTTTTGCTCAAGCCATGCCTGCCAGTTCCTGGGCTGCCTCTGGATCCCCTGGTTCCCCTCTGTCGCTCTGCCTGTGCTTTAGTGTCTCTCCATCCTCTCCGGCTCTGGCCAGGTGCCCTGGGCCTCTGCTGGCTGTTTGGGACCAGGCCAGGCTCATCCTGGGGTCTCTATAGAAACTGCTGATCCTGGCTGTGAATTTCATGTCTTCCAAAGCTCAGCACTGTGGCTTTAGAAATCTTTCTGGAAAAGAGAAGGGCGTGAGCAAGCGGGGAAGGGACCACTGGGGCCTGGCCATCTCCCCAGGCCCCACCCTGGGCGGCCCTGCTGGGAAAGAGCAAGGAAAGGCAGCCTGGCTGCCTGGCCACAGGTTGGATCTGTCCGCAGGCCACCCTGGGTTGACCTCCTGACCCTTCCTGCCTGGCTGGGTGCTTGGACAAGCTGGGGACAGGTAGCACTCAGGTCCCCGGGGTGGGAGATGGTGGCAGTGTCCCCGTGGGGAAATTCCTGTATGTGGACAGAAGGGAGGCCTGGGGACAGGTGCACTTGTGGTCACTGCCGCATGGGCAGTCTCGGGGCACAGGAGGAGGGGTTCCCGTGCACTAGTGGTCCTTTGCCTGGGCTCCTGGACTGCTGGGGCAGAGCTAGAGCTGAGTGTTCGGAGCCCGGGGCCTGGAAGCGGTGTCCTCCCTGCCCCACCTGAGTGCTAGGCTTGGGAGCCAAGCAGTCAGCGCCCAGTGCCTTACAGGGATCCGCCTGACCTTGAAACTTCAGGGCTGGACAAGGAAGTGATGGGTGTCACCTCAAACTTAGGGCGGCCCTGGTCCGTGTGTTCCAGGGAGGCTTCCTGGAGCAGAGGGACAGAGGAGCCCCGTAGCTGACGGTGGGGTGGGAGGTAGGGGAGTGGGAGTAGTTTCTCCTCCCTGGCTGGGAAGGAGAATCCTGGGGATACAAGGTTTCTCCTCCCTGGCTCTTAGCACTCCTTGACTTTAGGCCACTTGATGTGGATTGGGATGGGGCAAGTTTAAAAAGAACTCCACCCAGGGGCTGGCTCAGGGGCAGAGCAGCTGCTTGACGTGTGCAAGGCCCCTCGTTCAATCAGGAGATTGAACCAAAAAAAAGAAAAAGAAAAACTACTCAGTTAAGTGTCTGCCTCCCACATCCGCTAGAGAGGTGGGTAGTTTTCTTTTGATGAGGCTTCAGCCTTCTCTGCTGTTTCTGCATAACTCTTGCTCAAATGTTTTGGGGTTTGTTTTTTCCCTTTGTTTGTTTTTTGGGGCAGGGCCTTGCTGTGTTATCCAGGCTGGCCTCTTAACTCACAGAGATCCTCCTGCCTCTGCCTCCTCAGGTTTACAGGCATCCACCATTACACCTGGCTTTCCTTGTTGCATGGATCCTTAGGTTCTAGCAGCCAGTGAATGCTCACAGGACCACCTGCAGGTGCTCTGTGCCACCTGCAGGCAGAGAGAAGGGTTGGACACAGGTGTGGGCCAGGTAGGAGAGGAGCTCTCTGAGTTTCTCCTTCTGCTTCTGTTTCCTAGGGTGACGCTCCCTGGCTCCCCATCCCACCCCAGCATCATGCATCGGACCACACGGATCAAAATCACGGAGCTGAACCCTCACCTCATGTGCGCCCTCTGTGGCGGCTACTTCATTGACGCCACCACTATTGTAGAATGCCTGCATTCCTGTGAGTTGGGCTGGGAGAGGGCCGCTGCCCAGGGAAGCTGGGTCATGGCACCCCAACCTGGAGAGCAGAAATGGGTCCGTGTCTCCTGAGACCCCTAGGTTTCGGGGAGGCTGGCTTGCACGGGCAGTTAGTAGGTGAGGGTGTCTCCAAATAGTTCATTTTGGGAACTCGCACCTAAAAATCCTTTTTTTATGTTTTTTGGAGAGTTTTTTGTGTTTCGCTATGTAGTTCAGGCTGGCCTTGAACTCACTATGAAGCCCAGGCTGGCCTCGAACTTGCAGCAAGCAATCCTCCTGCCTCAGCCTCCTGAATGCTGAGGTTAAAGGCATGTGCTACTACACCTGGTGGAAATCTAGAAATCCAGATCTCTCCTGAATCTGTGAGGTGCCCCCAAGATGCAGGTGCAAGATAGGCTTGGTTGCAAGAGGTCAGGGGTCCAGGGAGGTGTGTTTACCAGAGCCCCTAGGACTGGGGGCCCAGTGGTCTGCTGCCGGAGACCCCAGCGCATTTCCTGCACACAGACACAGTCCCTGGGGGTACAGACAGGGGCAGGTAGTCGAGTGTGTAACATTGTGTTACGAGGGGCCTCTGGACATGGCCGTGTGACAGGAAAACGAGGCAGACCAGATGTGCAGCGGGGACTGGGCACGGGGTGGGAAGGGGCTCTCACGTCCCTTCTCTTTCACACCCTTTAGTCTGCAAAACGTGCATTGTGCGCTACCTGGAGACCAACAAGTACTGCCCAATGTGTGATGTCCAGGTCCACAAGACCCGGCCGCTGCTGAGCATCAGGTGGGCTGGGGTGGGGCGGAGGGGGCGGCCATGGATTGTGGGTGGGGAGGCACTGGGGAGTCCAGATGGGGGTGCCCAGGCCTGGGTCTGAGGAAGAAGGGCCAGATGGCTGACAACACCCCGTGATCTTCTCCCAGATCTGACAAGACTCTCCAGGATATCGTGTACAAATTGGTCCCGGGGCTTTTTAAAGGTACCGCGCCCCCTTCCTCCTCCGCCCTGCACCCCCACCCCGGGCTGAGGCCCCCCTCACCTCTCCCTCCCTGCAGATGAGATGAAGCGACGGCGAGACTTCTACGCCGCGTACCCGCTGACCGAGGGTGAGTGCAGAGGTATCCCCTGCACCCCACCAAGCTGGGTGGCCTCTGGGGCTCCTCCCTGTCCTTGCCCAACCCCCTGCTCTGCCCTGCAGTCCCCAACGGCTCCAATGAGGACCGTGGCGAGGTCCTGGAGCAGGACAAGGGGGCCCTGAGCAATGATGAGATCGTCAGCCTCTCCATCGAGTTCTACGAGGGTGTCAGGCAAGTCCCAGCTGCATCCCCTGTCCCCTCCATCACCACAGCCCCATCCCGGGCCTGGCCATGCACCTTCAGGTCTCTCTAGCTTGCTCCCTCCTCCTGCAGGGACCGGGATGAGAAGAAGAGTCCCCTGGAGAATGGGGATGGGGACAAGGAGAAGGTGAGTGTGGGGCCTGTTGTGGTGAGGCTGACAGGGTGGAGGGAGTGGCCTGGGCACAGCTCACATGGTGCCCCCCTCCCCCAGCAGACTGGAGTGCGCTTCCTCCGATGCCCGGCTGCCATGACCGTCATGCACCTGGCCAAGTTCCTTCGCAACAAGATGGACGTGCCCAGCAAGTACAAGGTGAGCACAGCCTTCTGCAAATGGGGATGTGCTCAGGAGGCTAAGGCAGGAGGACTGCTGTGAGTTCCAGGCCAGCCTGGGCTGGACTATAAATTGAGACTGTTGGAGTCTAGGGAGTTCCAAGAGTGGCTTTTCAACCTTGAACATGGCCCTGACCCCTGGAGCTCTTTAGGATTCAGATTCTCAGGCAGCTGATTTTGCTTTTCCAACAAGCTTCCAGGCACCAAGCGCCACAGGCCTCCCAGCAATTAGATCAGAATTCCAAGGCCGTGGAGCTGGCCATGGCTTCTCTATGCCCCTAGATGATTCTGCCATGCAGCTGGGGCGAGTAGGGGTCCGGAAATGCTCCTGATTCCGGTGACCCCTCCCAGGAGGAGACAAAAGGGCAATGTAGGGCATTCATGTCGGGGGCGTCTTGAGGGCTCCTTTCCACCTAGCGGTCAGGCCAGAGATGACAGAATCAGATCCCCAGGGAAGGCGCCACCTGCAGAGACCCCTGACACTCCAGAGCCCTGTCCCTGACCAGGTGCCCCTTTGTCCCCAGGTGGAGGTGCTGTATGATGACGAGCCCCTGAAGGAGTACTATACGCTCATGGACATTGCCTACATCTACCCCTGGCGGCGGGTAAGCAGCGGGGCGGGTGGGGCAGCGGGAAGGAGACCCCTGAGAGCTCCTCTGGCCCATTCCATAGCCAGATCTCTGGTCAGAAACAGGCGCTGAAACCATGCGTGGTGGTACAGGCCTGTAGTCCCAGCCCTGGGGAGGCTGAAGCAGGAGGGTTGCTGTGAGTTTGAGGCCCTGCCTCAAACCAACCACCCTAGAAAAGCTGTGACTTTGGCAGGGAGGGAATGCTGTGTCCACCTCTCCTTATATTTTTGGAAATCTCTGTCCTAAACCCTGCCCCTGGGTCTTCCTGTGTCCCCATGTCTCTGGCTCATCCTGCTATCTGCCCCTCTCACTGTTCCTGTGGGTGCTTGGTGTGGGACTGGATAGCCTGTGGGCATGGCTCCCTTGACACTGCTTCCCGGCCTTTCTCTTCCTCCCTGTCTACACAGAACGGCCCCCTCCCCCTCAAGTACCGCGTCCAGCCGGCCTGCAAGCGGCTCACGCTGCCCACCGTGCCCACCCCATCCGAGGGCACCAACACAAGCGGGGGCTCCGAGTGTGAGTCCGCCAGCGACAAGGCTCCCAGCCCCGCCACCTTGCCGGCCACGTCCTCCTCCCTGCCCAGCCCTGCCACCCCCTCCCACGGCTCTCCCAGCTCCCACGGGCCCCCGGGCCCCCACCCAACCTCCCCCACTCCTCCTGCCACAGCCAGTGGGGGGCCCGCCAATGCCAACGGGGGCACCTCGAACTGCCTGCAGACTGCGTCCTCCACCAGCAGGGGGCGCAAGGTGACTGTCAACGGCGTGCCCGTGCCCCCCTTGACTTGACCCTCCCTCCTTGGCAGCCCCCTCTCCACTTTACTTTTTCTGGGTCCCTGTTTTCCACCACTTCTACTCCCCAGTTTTTCCCACCTTAGGGTTGGGAGGCGGGTTTTATAAATAAATCTATCTATCTATCTATATATATATGTATATAGGAAAAACCAAATACACATACTTATTTTCTATGGACCAACCAGATTAACTTAAATTCCACAAGAACCAAACTGTATGTGTGTGTATGTGTGAGGATTGGTGTTCATTTTTAGGTAGGGTCCTGTGTAATGTGCTCTACTGTTTTTTTTTTTGGTCTTTTTTGAGACAGAGTCTAGCTCTGTAGTCCAGGCTGGCTGTGAATTCACTATGTTGCCCAGGCTGGTTTTGAGCTCGTGGTGATCCTCCTGCCTCCCTCCCAGGTGCTGGGATTACAGGTGTCGAGCACCAGGCCCAGCTCTCCTCTATCCTTTTTGGGGGTGCTTGGAGGTGGACACGAACACGAGGAAGCCTGGGGCCTCGGTAAAGTGCTGCCTCACCCGGGTCCCAGGGCAGATGAAGCATCCTGGAACCCCAGAGCTTTCTAGACACACATTCTCCTCCCACCCCCACCCCGCTGGGGCTGCTGTCCAGCCCCCACCCAGACAGTGCCTTTCCCAAGTACAGTTTGTCCCCGGCTCCCAGGAGCGGATGGCGAGGGCAAGCGATCTTCCACCCCTGCCTGGTCATTCACTAACTTTGTTCAAGGAGTGAATAGTTCTGCCCTTCCCTGCCCCCAGCTGAGCGACCTGTGCATCACTGATCTCATGGAAAAGAGCGAGGCCACCAGCGTCCCCAGCCTGGGGCATCCCTGCATGACTTTAGCATTGCGGGGGAGGGGGGGCACCCCCCACCGCAGCTAGCCAGGCCCTGAACCCTCACTAGCAAGGTGGCACCGGCCCTGGGGGGCGGGGTACAAGCACAGAGTCCAGGCCTTGCCAAAGGCCAACAGCCCTCCCCTAGTCCCTACTGAGGCTGGGTCAGGACGTTGACAGCTGTCCAGAAGCACAAGGGGCAGGGGACCAAGGAATCCTGGCCTGGCTCCTCTCCGAACGGTAACCCGCCTTCAAGGGGCGGGACCTCACAAATCCCCGCCTACCCCTCTGCTGGTCTTAAGGAGCCGGTAGTCACAGCTTGCTCCTGTGTGTCTGCTGTGCCGTCTGTCGTCTGTCGGAGGACCTGTGGCTGTACCTCCCACCTGGGACGTTTGTATCCGTGACTTTGTAATAAATGCTGCATACTCTGGAGCCCGTCCTTCTTTGGAGTAGAGGGAGGAAAGGGGAGCAACTGCCTTGGGCCCTGAAGGACAGAAGGGAAGGGAAGCCACCATCTTTCCTCACCCCTGTCTCCACGTGGAATGGAGATTGAATGTGCATGGCACTAGACAGCACAAGGAGACCACTCCACATGGGCTTTGGTGGCTGATTTATTTTTAGGTTTTGTTGTGTTTTCAGGCAGAACCTTGGTATATGCAGTTCAGATTGGCCTTGAACTCACTATGTGGCCTAGGCTGGCCTCGAACTCTTGGGCAATCCTCCTGCCTCCTGCGAGTGCTGGGATCACAGGCATACTTGGCCTTGCTCATTTCATGCCGTTATTCCCAGCATGCTGAACCAAACAGGTGCCCACTCCTGGCTGACCACACTGGCACCTCAGTTACGGCGGGCACTTCATCACAAGCTGGATGTGGGTCCATGGGTTCTTGGATCGTCCCTTCTTAGGAGCGGCACATGATTTCCTTCCCACAAAGGGATGGCTGCCAGGCCTGCAGCTAAGGCCACCCAGGGCCAGGCTGAGGCCCGTGCCTTAGAGCGGGGTACCCACGTCTGCCTTCTGCACCCGCTCACTCCTGTGGGTGCCATCGCAGTACGGGGGCCTCTGAGTGGCCTTACAGGTACAAAGGGCCACTGTACGGGTCTCCTGGGCCTTGAACTTGAGAGGAGCCAGGCCTGTGTGCTGGAAGAAGTGAGAGCCATCACAGAAGGGCTGATGGGAGAGAGAGAGAGCAGTCAGAGTGGTGTCCACCTGTTGTGGCAGGTACCTCCCAATAGGCCAGGCTCTGGGGTAGGAGCAACCTGGGCCAGTCAGTCACCTCCCACCTTAATTTGAGAAGTAGGTTGTCATGAGAAAAGTAACACAGGTGTGGAGTTGCTAGTCTGTATTCCCAGCACTTGGGAGACTGACGCAGGAAGATCACAGAGTTCAAGGCCAGCCTGAACTACACAGTGAAATCCTGCCTCAAAAAACTTAAAAAAAAAAAAAAAAGTAATTAATGTTCACCAGGGTCTGGGGATGTAGCTCAGTGGTATAGTGCCTGCCTGGCAAGCACATGGTCCTGAGTTCAATTCCCAGAATTAACAAAACAAAAACAAAAAAATTTAATGTGTGATGGTACATGCCTGTCATCCCAGCATTAAGGGGGCTGAGGCAGGAGGATCTCCAGAAGTTCAAAGCCAGCCCGAGTTACAAGATGAATTCAAGGCCAACCTGAACTACATCGCGATAATCTGTCTCAAAATAATAAAAGTAATAATAGTGGTAATAATAAAGGTCATACTTTGCCTGTAGTTGGGGTTCACTGTTCACAACATTAGTCAGGACATATGGGCCATTTGCAAGATGGAACAAGCCTCAGGGATCAGAAATGTGTGTACAGGTCTTGTTTCTAATGAGTGAGTCTCCGCAGATCTTTGAAATTCATTTCCATCTCCCGTGTCCCTCAGATAAAAACTTGGGGTCCGTATGCACTAGAAGTGGTTCTATTTGGTTCCAAGAAACAGCTGGGCCTAGGACCAGGACAGGCCATGTCCTCCAGCAGTGTGCCTGCAGGATGCAGTCTGGCTGGCCCATGCTGAAAGCAGCTCAGGCAGAGCCAGGCTCTGGGAAAGGCAGTCCAGAAGAGGGGGGCACGCCTCGAGATGGGGCAGAGCTAGAGTCAGGGTGGGGCAGCAGTGTGCAAACAAAATTCACAACCTGTTATAGAGGGCATGGGGCACAGGCACAAGTGCCACTCCCTCCTGCCAACCATCCCTGGCTGGCTCCCCCAGCGACCTCTGATGCCAGGAAAGCTGCCTGAAGGCTATGATCAATCAGCAGCAAAATGGGGTTGCTGGCACGGCCTACATGGCTGAGGGACACAGTTGTGAGCTCTGCAGGAGAAGGACAGAAAGGGCGCAGAGCTCGGAACCTGGAGTGGGCACGGTCACAAGAGCCAGGCAGCAGGCTGAGAAGGTGGCCTTCGGGGTGGGGGTGGGGCAGCCCAGGTAGAGGGACAAAAGGCCTGACAGAGTCTGCTCTGCAGGAGGGTCCAAGCCCTGGCACCTGGACCAGCTGCCTCCCCGGGGAGGCAGGAGAGGAGTCCTCTGCTCTTACCTGCTTCTTGCTGCGGCCACACACGCACCACCTGTAGGTTTTCCCTGACACCAGCTCCACCTTGATGGGTGTTTTCTGGGCCACCACGGCCTTGGCTGGGGTTTTGGGGAACCATCGGGCCTGTGGCCAGGAAGGGTGTAGGGTTCAGGGTCAGCCTGTGCCCTTGTCTACGTCCCCAGGTGCCACTCGGTGAGGCCATCCCCTAGGACACCGTAGGGAGTCTGCACTTCAGAGAGCAAGGACCGACCGGAGGCCACACAGGCAGCAGGGTTCAGAGTCCGGCTGTCCCCTCTCAAGTCCCTGCCCACATGCGGCCTGCATCAGCGGGATGGAAGGAAGCCCAACTCTCCAGCGCGGGGCCCCGGTCCATCCCAGGTGTCCAAGCCCTAGACCAGCGCTGCAGGCTGAGGCAGGGCTGTCCCTGCCGGGTCCCATTTCTGAGGTCTCTGGAACTGGGAGACGTGAGGCGGGGACGCTGGGGCCACTCACCAGCCAGGAGGTGATGTCCCGCCTCTGGCTGAGCTTCTGCAACGCAGGCAGGCAGACTTTATTCGGAAACAGAAAAACTGAGACGGAGGAGCTAGCAGGACGCCGGAAGGCCATCTGAGAGGGACGCGGCGCACGGCTGGCGGGTCTCGGGAGAAGCAGGAGGGTAAGAGGGAGAGTCACAGAAGCACCTTTACTGGGCGCGTCCTGGCGCGCCGAAAGCGCTGGGCTAGCGAAGGGCTGCAAAGGGACGCTCTAGGCCAGGGTGGCGGCAGGCGCTCGGCGGTTCGCACACCCTGGGACGCCGGACGCGCGCGGGGCGGGGCTTCGGAAGGGTATGGTGGGGGCGGGGCGGGTTGCGCAGGGCCAGGAGGCGGAGCTAGCGCTGGGTCGGGTCGGGGCCAGGAAGCTCATGGGCGTGGCCCACGGCAGGGCGGGGCCTCAGGGTCGCGTTTCCCTGGCCCGCAGCCGCGGCTCTCAGCTTCGGGCTCGCTTTCCCTCTGCACTGCGCTCCAACCCAGGCGCGCCGGCTCTTGGCCTGGGCCTGGACTTGGAGCGGGTCGGAAGACGCTGTGCAGCTCCGCCAGAAACACAAGGCAGGGGGCGGGCCGGAAACCCAGCAGGTGCCTGCCCGCAGCCCGGCGGCCGCTCGGATTGCGCAGTGGGCCTCCCTGGGACCCCTCTGCAGGGCCTGTCTGCGGACACTGCGTCCCTGAAAGTGCACGGTGGGAATGGCTCATCACTCAACCAGCTTAACAACAATCGCAGAGACTGGGAGGCTGAGGCAGGAGGGTCGTGAGTTCCAGCGCAGCCTGGGCAATTTTGCAATATGCTGAGTAAACAACAAAATAGGCGGGTTCTATTCAATCTGCAGTATGGGTAGGGGCAATAGACCTGCCAAGCGGCAGTTTCCAGTGGCTCCACATCCTCGTCCTCGTGTGGAGCAGGCGCCACCCAATGCCCAGGCAGTGGGTTGCTCTTCCAGCAGAATGGTCAGGGGCCACCCCTAGGCCTCCCTTGAAGGCCACCTCCCTTTCCCCTTTAGTACAGTCACACAAAGCAGGGTCTCTCTTTGGAATTTTTTTTTTTGTAAAAGTCTTTTATTAAAAGAACAAGTGCTGTTTACGAACTGCTCCTCGTACAAATAACATCCGTTATACAAAGATACAAGATCTGGGTTATGCACAATTCTGGGCTTGGAGATATGGGGTGGGAGCATTGCTTTTTGGGCTGAGGATAAAAAGGAGTCTTTAGAAAGACTGATAAAGGGATCTCTGGGTTTGCAAACTGAAGCTTCCCCTCTCTACCCCCTCGGAAGGGTCTGCTACAAACAGGCTAGGATAGAAGAGGAGGTTGGGGTCTGGATCTGCATTCCAAACACCCCTCTCCTACCTTGGGCTGGAGAAAGTGGGCAGTGGACTACTGTGGGCACTAACCTGACTGCTTAGAGCAAGACAAGCAAGACAAAGCCAACTCTGGTGAGAATGTGTTTTTGTGTGGCTGGGAGGGTATCCAGGGTTGCTTGGCCCTACCTTCCTGTCCCCAGTAGAAAGCCCCTCCACCCTTCTCTCCAGGAGAACACACTGGGATAAAGAACAGGGGACACATTGCCACCCCTCACCCTGACTTAGGAAGACCGGGAAGACGCTGCAAGCTTGCAGGGGAGCCTGGGTCTCAGCAAACCTGTCCAGCATTTCCAGCCTGGTACAGGGTCACTTGAAGGTCACTCCTTCTCAGAGCCAACTCTGGCTTATGCACCCCCTAAATCTGGGCTCTTTGAGTCTGGGGTGACTGCTTTCCTAGGTCTCGGCACAAGGGTCCCCTCACCAACCTCAGTCAGGGATTCCACAAGAAAGCAAGAGACCCCAGAGCCTGAAACCCACAAAGGACAAACTACTTTAAAGGCACCCCTTGAAGTGTCATTGTCTATGAAGAGGACCCATCAGCTCAGAGCTAAAGACAAACTCCCAGCGTAGGTATAGCCTGTGTCTCTCTCACACACACACAAACACACACATATGCATTCACAAAACCTACAGGAGAGCTAAAGAGCAGACAGACAGGTGGTAGTTAGGTTGGGGTACCCTGCCCATCTGGGCCTGCCAACTGTCACCAGGGAAGCAAGGGGTCAGCTGACACACCCTACTCCAGGAGTGACCCCTTGGCCAGCAGGGGCCTGGCACACATACCCACTCACATCTCCCTGCTGAGGGTGGGGACAGAGCTCCAGCCAAGCACTCGCGGACACCACTTCCACTCTGCAAACCACATCCTTCCCTTCCCCCAGAATGCCACAAATCTGCACACCACCCCACCCCACTTCGCTGTCAGCTGAAGGAGGCCGGGGGAGGGAGAGGGCCTTACAGCTGCCTTGTGTGTCTGTCCTGTCCCAAGGAGACTTCATAGCTTTCCCAGTGGACTCCTAATGGGCCTGTGTCCCACGTCCCCAAGTCCAGCCTCCCCACCACAGCCTAAGGGCTGGGAAACTTGAGGGACAGAGCCGGAGATGCAGGTGACTGGGTTGGGATGGGTGGGGTGGACAAGCCCGGGTGTCTGGGTTCCAGTGCACTAAACCACTCCTGGCCTCCTGCCAAAGCCTGGGTGTAATGCCCTTTCCCTTCTGCTGCTGGGAGGGAAGGGACAAAGTAGCCTTCAGCCCTGGGCTAGGCAGGGTGTGAAGGAACAACTCTGTGGAGAATCTCTGGATCACTTTGGGGACAGGGCAGTAAAGAGCAGAATAGATCAAGATGAATAAAATGCCCAGTTCTAACATGTCTAACTGATATTTAGCATTTAATAAAAAAAAAAATGAGGATTTTGAGGTCATCACAACTGTTCCTTTCTTCCCACCCCCAAGCCCTTGCAAGTGCCTCAGAAATCTCTGAAGGACTCCCACCCACCCTGTCCATAGCGCCCTAAGAGCTTACAAAGTCTTATCAATGGGAATATTGATATTTTCTGTATCAGAAAAAGAACAAAAACAAAAACAAAAACAGTTAAGCAGCACAGGCAAAAATATATCTGCACTACATTTCTGTCATTGCCAAAAATATACACATCTTCTTTCCTTTATTTAAAAAAAAAAAAAAACCAACCAAAAAACCCCCAACAAAACCCCGAGCAGAAACACAGTTATGCACACATGCAAGCCAGACAGATGGACAGACAGACGGACGGACGGACGGACGAATAGACAGAAGAAGGGGCATCCACCCCAGTGCAACTGAACAGCTACCCACCTGACCTTCATGCCGGAGGTCCAGGCAAATTAGTGCTAGGAAAAGCACTGCCCCCTGTACCCCAACACAGCTGCGGGCGAGGGGCCAGCGGTGAGGTGGGTTTAGTGGCTCTGTGACTGTAGGGGCAGGAGGCAGGCTGGCCAAGTCTGCAAACGGGACTTTTGCTAAAAGTGGCACTTTACCCGCCTTGTCCCTTCCCCCAAGTTCCAGGGCTTCTCCCCTCAGGCCAAGGAAGAAAGGTCAAACTAGCAGGGGGTCAGGGAACCCTGAGACCAAGTGGGGTGTAGGGGAGGGAAGGCAGGCTATCACCCTGATTCAAAGCCCAGCCCCTGCCATGCTCTGGTACCAAGGTGCGGGAGGTGGGGAGGGCACAGACCAGAGCTGGGTCCCTGCTGCTGCCGACCAACCGGCGCTCCCATCCCTACCCTCAGCTGCCCCAGGCCCAGGGGAAGGAAGACAGATGACACACGACAGACTCCCACGCACACACACTCACACACTCGTGCCTCTCCCCAGCCTCCACACTCCTCAAGCCAATAGTGCAAACAAGGAGGGGTGCTGAGGACAGCCAGCGCCTCCCCCCATTGCTGGGCCCCTTGGGGCGCCAGGGGCCTGGCTGGTGCTGATGCCCTGCCCTTCCTCAGCTCCCATCTGTGGGCTTTTACAAGCTCAGCTTGTGACCCTGGGTGAGGAAAGGGATAGTGAGAAACAGTCGCTGGACCCTTCTGCCACCGCCCAGGTGGAGCAGAAACTCCCAAGCGAGGGGGACCGTTCTTCCCTAGATTTCCACTCAGGGCCAGCTCAGGGCCACCCCTTCTCTTCTCTCGGGTTTAAGTGCTGATCCATTTTATGTGGCGGGTCCAAGCCCCCCACGCACACCACCCCAGCATCCCCTTCATGGCCTCTCGCGGTGGCCAGCGCAGAGGAAGGGTCCCAGGCTGGATGCCCTCCCAGCCTTGGTCCGAGGCAACACATTCCCATGCGCCCCTGGCCTTTGCAAGGGCTCCAGCCCGGGCTCGCCAGTGCCTGGGCCCAGCTGCCTGCTCCAGGCTTGGACCCTTCTAGTCAGGACGTGTCCCCTCCATGCAGGGCTCAGGAAGGGCATGATGGGCTTTAGCCTTTCTCCTGGTTGGCTGAGGCTCCTCTGTCAGCAGTCTGGAAAGAGAGGAAGGGAGGCTGGGGCCTTAGGAGCTTCCTGGGTGTAGAAGGGGAGGCAGCTGGGGCCTCCTGCCCCACTCTAACATTGGCACGCCAGGGAGCAGTAAAACAGGCACGTGGCCACCAAGGACAGCTTCCAGGGTCAGGCTCTGTGGCCCTCTCCCACTGGCCCCCAGAGAGCCATCTCTTCCTAACAGGTCACCCCAGGAGAAGGTTTATTTGTTTTCTTCTTTGATGATATGTTTTTTTTTTTGTTTTGGTTTGGTTTTTTTCGAGTCAGGGTCTCTCTATGTAGTCCAGGCTGGCCTGGAGCTCATTTTGTAGCCCAGGCTGGTCTCAAACTTGCAACAATCCTCCTGCCTCAGCCTCCCTAGTGCTGGGATTCCAGGTGGTGCCACCACACCTGGTGGAAGGCTGTTAACTAACTGGCCTTTTTCCCACCACTCCCACTCGCAGTAACCCTTTCCTAGCTCTGCACCAGAGGTCCCGACCATCCATCCCCCTACCTCCCTTTGCAGGTAGCCAGGAAGGCCCCAGACTCCCTACTCACCCCTCCTTTGGGGCCGCTGCTACTGCTGTCCGCCCCCGACAGGCTGAGGAAGGGGTTGGTCTGGGCAGTGAGGACTGGGGGTCCTCCCGCCGCTGCCACAGCTGCTGCTGCCGCTGCTGCAGCCATAAGACTCGTGTTGCTGCCCAGTGAGGGGGCCACCAGGGCTCCAGCGGGCAGCAGAGCAGGCGCGGATGCAGCTGAGAGCAATGGGGCGGAGCTTCCGGCCAGCAGGCCAGCCATGGGCAGCTGGGAACCCCCGGCCATCTGCAGCCGCTGCAGCTCCCGCTTCTGCTGCACCTGCTGGATCATCTGGTAGACCACTGTCTGGTGCTCCTGCAAGGGGCCAGAGAGCTCCTTGTAGTCCCTCCCCAACTGCTGGCCGCCCTGCCCACCACCCCGAAGTCCCAGGAAGTGGTGGGGGTGGGGCACACATCAGGTCTCTGTCTCTTAACAACATACTCTAGGCCTCAGTCTCCCCATCTGAACAAGAAAACAGTCAGGCATGGTGGCATGTGGCCATGATTCTACAACCCAGAGGGCCAAAGTAGGAGGGTTGCTAAGTTTGAGGTCAGTCTTGTCAACACAGGGAGTTCAAGGGCAATCTGACCTATACAGCAAGACCCTATCTCAAAAAAAAAAAAAAAAAAAAAAACCACATACAAGATGGGCCTGGAGGCACACACCTGCCATCCCAGCACTCAGGAGGCTGAGGCAGGAGACGTGAGTTCAAGGCCAGCTTGGGCTACAAAGTGAGCTCAATGCCAGCCTGGACTGCATAGACAGAGCCTGTCTCAAAAAGACAAAAACAAAACAAAACAAAAGACATACACAGGAAAACAGCTCCATACAGTCAGCATCTGTCATCTGGGGACTGCTGACCAAGGGTGGACTGTGACATCCCCAGCCCTGCTCACTAATACAAGTCCTCCATTGCTTAAATAACCACAAATGCTGCGAGGGTGATGGACCCCAAGTTTAGGCTAGCCTCGGACTTACTATATAGCCCAGGTTGGCCTCAAACTCCTGACAATCTTCATGCCTCAGTCTCCTGAGTGCTGAGATTATAGATGTGCCCCACCACAACCAGCCAACAGTAGTTTCAACTCCCCATCCTTTTACTGTTAAGAGTCATTTTACTCTTGAATAATTATAGTATTTTGCGGGGCCAGGGGTTTAGCTCAGTGGCATAAGTGCCCATCCTGCAAGCTTGAGGTCATGAGTTCAATCCCCAGTATATGGGGGAAGCGGGGGAGGAATAAAGCATTTTGTGTTCCTAAGGTCAAAATAATGGATCAAAATTTACCTTATAAAAATCTTCCTATTCTGGTTCTCATCTGGGCCCGTAAGTAATCAGCTGTTTTCTGGTCTTTCTGTTTTTTTATATGAAAATGTTAACTTTTCCTGTTTTTACATCCTCTCATTTTTATTTTCTGTAATTCTGGAGACTGAACAGAGCTTCATACATACAGGTACACACTGAATCACTGAGCTACATCCTCAGCTTTCTGTTGTTTTTTACGTGGGACAGTGTCTTTCTAAATCACTAAGTTGCCAAAGCTGGTTTTGAGCCTGAGAGCCTCCTGCCTCAGCCTCCCTGAGTGCTGGGACTGTAGATACATGCCCATGTCACCACCATGCCCAACATTTCCCTCTCTCAGTTTTAAAAGGTAAAGTCCTTTTTCTTGGACTATAACCTGAAAGCAAAACAGAAGTGGAGACCTCAAAACATCGTTCTGGCTGGGGTGGCACCACCTGCCCAGGCACCTTTCTCCGAGACCCTGTGAATCCCCTGGTGACCCAGGGCCAGGACTCCAGCACTCAGCTCCCTTCTCCCTCATGTATATGGGGTCTCGCTGCACCCTTTCCCCAGCAGTCAGAGGACCCTGGGCACGGCCTCACCCCTTGCCTGCTGCCCCAGGCTCCATCCCTGCCCAGCTTGGATCCCCACCAGGTCTCTCGGTGTGGGGGAGAGGCATAGTACCGGGGTCAGCTGCGGTGAGGCCAGGAGCTGCTGGAGCTGCTGGAGCTGCTGATCCTGCTGCTGAAGGAGGTGTCTCTGTTGCTCGGTGAGGCTGAGGCAGGACAGACAGATCTGGTTGGGAGGGACAGGCGCACACCTCCCACCCACAGGCTCCCTTACTCCCTCAGACAGGGTGAGAGGCAGAGGTGCCGGTCTGGAGCACAGAGCTCAGAGGAGAAGGAGGAGGAGGAGGAGAAGGAGGAACAGGACAGAAGGGGGGGGGCAAGCTGTCCCAGGAGGAAGACAACCAAGGTGGGGCTCCTAAGGCACTGAGGGACGACAGCCTAGGGTGCCCAGAGGCCGGCAGGGCACTAGGGCCATTGCCCTGGGGGCTGGTGGACATACTCCTTGGTGAGGAAGACGTGCTGGCAGACCCTCCCGACTCAGCCTCGCGAGCCCTCTCAGGGCTGAGCGCCCCCTCACCTGTTGAGACAGCCTGGCAGCTGCAGCGTGGGGGCCCCACCAGCCTGGCTCAAGCCTGCAGGGTTGGGGGCGGCAGCCCCATTCAGCCCCCCCAGGAGCCCATTGAGGGGCAGGCCCCCACTGCTGGCCAGCCCCCCCAGCAGTCCCTCAGCTGCAGGCCCAGCCCCCAGCCCTGCTGGCCCGGGTGCCCGGACAAGCCCATTCTGTGGCTGCGGCGGGAGCGGTGCGGGGCCCCCGGGCAGGGCCAAGGGCAGGGCGGCAGGGCTCTGCTGGAGCAGGGGCAGCGGTGGGGGCGTACTGTGGAAGGACAGCGATGAGCTGCTGCGGCTCGGGCAGCCTGAGTGTGGGTCCTGGGGGGGAGGGGAACGGGGGTCAGAGGATCAGCGACCCTCCCAGCTCCCAGCCTGGCACCCACCAGAGCACGGCCCCCCGCCGTACCCTAAGGCGGCCTGGGAAGAAACCAGGCCGAGAAGAAAGGCTGAGAATCCAAACCCTATCTGAAAGTCATGTCACTGCCCACTTCCTGGAGACCCAGCCCCGTCACCTGTGGTTAATGAGGTAATGCAGTGACCTTGATTCAGAAGCCAGGGCTTGCCCCGGGCCCCTGTGACTCCATCTCATGATGAACAGAGCGCTAAGGCTGGGCTGTGAGGCAATCTACTGAGTACTGCAGGGACTTGGCGGCCTTGGATTCAACTTAGCAGAACAGCAGTACTGATTCTGTGGGGTCACTTCGAAGACTAAATAAACTACCCGCTGGGACAGAGGGCAGGTGGGCAATTAACATTGTTACTGTTCGAATCATGACAGCTCAAGTCCCAGCAGCAGAAAGAATAGCATAAGAGCCCAGTTTGCTGGAAGCCAATGGTAACCACAACATAACAATAGTAACTGCTACTCCAACCACCAGCAATTACACAGGGATTACTTCGTGTGAGGCGCTATAATAAACGCTTCTCACAGGCCCTCCCTAACCAGCCGGAATCCAAGAGGATCTCTCCCTGCTGCCGCTCCCTCAGGGCCCTCAATGTGGAGCCCTCTGAGCCCTCACCCTGTGCAGAGCCCACGTTCAGGAGGCTCATGTTGGCAATGCTCGCAAGGTGCCCAGCCAGTCAGACCCCGGCAGGAAGCAGGACCTCATAAAGAGGTGAACAGATGAACCCTTCATTTTGCTGCCCAGGCTCCAATAGGTGCAGGGTAGAGATGGGATGGGGGACCCGCAGTCTCCCCCCTCAGCCCTGTCCCCATGCGCCCACCTCCGAAGACGTGGACAGCGAGTTGTCCAGGCCAAGGCTGTTCTTGCCCGGAGGGCTCTTGCTGGTGCTCAGGGAGTCGCTGCTGCTGGCTGTGGGAGGCAGGGCAGCCAGGGTTGGAAGGGGCCCTGTGGCAGCCAGAGACTCCCACTTCTGGGCTGGGCAGGACCCCTCACCTTGGGGAAGCAGGCCATAGGGCCCAGCTAGAGGGCCGTTGGCGGTAGGCAGGGCAGCGGGAAGGGCGGGGAAGGGCACGGAGAGCTGCACATTGAGAATCTGCAGCCGCTCCTTCTTGGCTGTCAGGCTCAGAATCTGCTCCTGCAGCCGCTGGTTTTCCTTTTGCAGCGCGTGCAGCGCCTTCAGCATCTCCACAACTGCGAGGGAGCAGGAGAGTCGGCAACCGGGCTGGGAGGCGGGGCCTGGGCCGGAGACCCCAGGGCGCGAGGGGGCGGGACCACAGATCGACCAATGGAGGGATCAGGGGCGTGCCCCGGACCTCTAGGGGAACCAGAGGGGTGGGACCTTAAGGATGCTGAGACAGCCCAGCGCCTGGAAACCACCAGTGTGCGGACCCCGGGCGGGGCGTCCCCAGCAGACCCGAGAAGGGGTGCGGGTGGTAGTTGGGCTCAGGCAGTCTGGACCCTAGGGTCAGGCCAGGAAAAGCCTGGGAGGCAATGGTTGCAGCCCAGAGCAGGCCTCCCCAGGGCAGATCTCCCGCCCGCCAGGGGCCACCCTCCTCACTGTTGACGCCGGCCTCGCCATCGCCCTGCTTCTCCAGCAGCTGCTCCATGTTCGTCGTCCCCGGGGCTACCGGATCCAGTTGGACGCTACCGCAGGGTGCAGATACGGTCTGGTCGAAGAGTGCAGGGAGGCTGCTGATAGGGGACCTGAGTCCAGGAGGGAAGGCAGGTTCAGGCTCCTCCACGCCCCCACACAGGCCCCCTCCCCCAAGGGGATTCCAACCCGCCCCCACCCTGTCCCCTTCCCCGGCGGCCGCTCCCTCCCTCACATGGAAGACAGACTCTCCTGGGGGGAGGTCCCTCGGCACCGGAAGCTGCAGTCCTCCAGGTCTGGCTCTGGGAAGGAGGGAGGGCACAGGTCAGCGCGATCTGGGACCGCAGCACAGACCCCCTCCTGACACCCCAATCCCAGAGGCAAGGCGCAGGGAGCGCGGGGAGGAGGCTTGGAAACCCTGACTTTTGGGGACTACCTCTGGGTCCACCTCCCAGTTTGAGTTACTGGGATTTGAGATGGATGCCAACCTCGATTGAGCAGTAACCTGACTGCCTTGCTGGGTGACCTCCCATCTGAAGTGACTGCAGTTAGGACCGACATGGGGGATTAAGGTGGAGTGTGTGCCTGGAGGGCTTGGCTGGCAGGCAGCCGCCTTAATGACTAACAGTAACTAGCATGACTTTATATCCCTAAAGTCCCAAGTAGGCAAAACTGCTGGGCCACAGAATTCTACTCCAAGTTTAAGAAAATGTAACCGTTATGTCTTAAAACTAGAATCGGACCCCCTCCCTTTGGTATTGGGGATTGAACTGGGCATTCTCTCAGCTGCATCCTCAGCATCACCCGACTTTTATTGAAACAGGGTCTCAGGGTTTGCCCAGGCCACGCTTGACCTTGACTTCCTCCGGCCTCTGCCTCCCCAATACCGAGACTACACAGATGTGCCACCTGTGGCCCCTTTAAAGTTTACCTCTAACTGGATGCCTGTGGCTAAGCTCCGCCCCTACACCGGATGGCGGAGGTGCAAGTCCACCAATCAGCTCTCAAGGGCTGGGCCAACTCCTAGGAATGGGGGGGGCCCTTAACTCAAGCAGAACTAGAGGCTGGACTGGGGGTGGGGACCTCGGAGCTCTGAGAACATGCCAACTGGGTGGCAATGCTACCAGAGCACTGGGCCTGGCCCAGGCTCTGAGCCCTGTTGTCTCAAGTCCTTTCTGTCTTCTCTAGCCAGACGGGGTAGTAATTCTGCCCTCCTGGCCCCTTCTGTTTTGGTTTTGGAACCCAGGGCCTCCAAGATGCTGGGCTGCATCCCCAGCCTTTACATTTTTGAGACAAGGTCTCCCTCCACACATGGCCCTAGTTGGCCTTGAAATTGGGGTGCTCCTCCCCAGAATACCCCGTGAAGTTTTGTTTCTTTTCCATCAGGCGGGCACTGACCAGAGGAAGGGGGCAGCCATCAAACCCTGTTACCCTCTCAGGTCCAGGTGAGGACATGAGTCCAGGCTCCTACCTGTGTGGCTGCTCTCAGCCTGGGTGAGCAGCGGGTTCACGGTGCCCACAGAGGTCCCAAAGATGTGGGTAGAGGGGAGGCTGAAGGTAGAGCCAGCCAGGGGGAACACCTGAGAAGGATGATAGGCGGGGGTGGTTCTTAACCAAGGCCGAGGTCCCCTGTCATAGAGCAGCATACCCCAGGAAGGCTGAGCAGAACAGGGCCTCACCTGAGTGGTGGAGATGGACGTGGAAGAGGAGGGCAGGGTGCTGGTGTAAGGGGAGCGGCTGAGCCGGGGCAGGGCAGAGGTGCCGGGGGCCCCCAGCAGGCTGGAGGAGAGGGGCGTGCTGCACACGGCCCGCAGCATGCTGCCACCATGGGAAATGGGGTCCTTATTACTGGTGTAGATGCCTACAGACACGGGGAGAACACAGGGTAATACAGTTACCTCGGTCAGGGCCTGGGACAGCCAGGACACACTAGGGACCTGGCTAACGGACTTCTTACTGCGGCTCATGTACCTGTATGCTAGACTGCCCTGCCCCAAACCTGCAGGTCTCTCCTGCAATCAACACCACTGTCTCCCAGGACAACTGTACAGGTTGTCCTGGGACCTGTGTCAAGGTGATCGTCACCTCCACCCTTTCTTTGAGGCAAGCTTACTTTCTCTCCCTCTCCTTTTGTAGTACCAGGGATTGAACCTACAGCCTTCACACTGAGCTCTCTCTCCAGCCCCTTTTATTATTTTGAGACAGGACCTAGAACTTGTGGCCCTCTGGCCTCAGCCGTGCTGGGGTTACAGGTGTGTATCACCCAACCTTTGAGGCAGCTTCTAGCCCCTTCTTCCTGACTGCCTGTGTATACCTCTGTCACCACCCCTTCCTCAGGGTCACTAACCTGCCCCCAGCAGCGGGGACTCCAGGCTCAGGCTGGGCAAACTCCCCGTAGGTCCGAAGGTGCGGGAGGCCAGACCTCCGAGGCCAGAGCTGACCAGGGAGCCCCCAGAGAAGGGGGAGGCAGCAGTGGCAGTGAAGCCAGCCAGCTGGGCAGCAGGCAGGATGGGAACCACAGGAGTGCCCGTGCCATCCTTGTTCCGACTGCCCTTTGGCCGGCCAGGCCCATGTCGGTTCTTCTTGCTGGCCTTGTGCCTCTTCTCCTTCAGCCCTGGCTCCAGGGGCTCCTCAGTGGGCGCAGGGGTGGCGCTCAGGGTGGGCATCCGCTTGTGGGTACTGGCTGATGTCCCTGACGCCGAAATGTGGGGAGACTTATAGTCCCCCGGGGAGGGGTCCCGGGCCCGGCTCGAGCCAGAGGCAGACGTGGAAAAGCGCATGATGGGCCCGAAGCCGGAGAAGACCACCTTCTGCTCGAAGAGGTCAGCTTTGGGGGGCTCCTGGGTGGAGGGTGAGGGTGGGGCTGATGGGGTGGGGGCCATTGGCTTGGAGTACTTGTCCTCCTCCGACTGTTCCAGCTTGGGGAAGGCGGAGAATTCAGGGGAGCTCTGCAGCGAGGAGCCTACACACAAGGGAAAGGGGATCAGGCCTGGCACACACCCCCCAGTCATGCACTCTGGGTGGTGGGCAGTGGCAGAGGCTGTGTCTCCCCGCCCCACTCAAGAGTCCTGGGATGAAGACCTGCCCAGCTTGCCCACCAGTAACAAATGGAGAGAAGGGCTGGGCTGGCAGCCCATGCCTGTCATCCCAGAACTCAGGAGGCTGAGGTGGGAGGATCACCTTGAGTTCAAGGCCACCCAGGGCTACACAGTGAGTTGAAAGGTAGCCTGGACTACATAGCCAGGCTGTGTCCAAAGGAAACTCCCACCCTGGGAGCCAACACTAATGCTGGTGCTGTGCTCTCAATGGTCCCTGCGGCACTCTTGGAGAGGGGCAATGAACACATTGCGAGCCCTTCCAGCTGAGGAGAGTCGCAAGTCCAGAGAGCTGGGTACGAGGGGTGCCAGGGAGGAGCTTATGGCTGGGAATATTTCCTTTCTCCTACACTGATTAACAAGAGCAAACGAGATGTAAGGTGGGCATGGTGGTGCACGCCTGTCATCCTAGCTCTTGGGAGGCTGAGGCAGGAGGGTGCTGGCAAAGTTCAAGCCCAGGTTTGGCTCAACAGCGAGTTCAAGGCTAGCTTCCACTACACAGTGAGACCCTGTCTCAAAAAAGCCAAAATAAATAAATGCAAGCAAACAAGATGCAAACTACTATGCAAAAGCCCTTGTTAAGGAAGCCAGGGCAAGGCTGCGGCTTGGTCTCAGGGGGAGGTCCCACTCACCTGCAGGCTGGAAAGGCCCCCCGGAGGAGGAGGAGGAGGAGGAGGAGGAAGAGGAGGAAGAGGCCGAGGCGAAGCTGCTCACACCTTTCCCACTGCTGCTCAGCTTCTTCCCTTTGTGACTCAGGCCGTGGCTGGAAGACTTCTTCCCCTTGGAGTCCCTGCTGCTCTCCGAGGTCTCCTGAGAGCCGCCCTCGTGGTGGGAGGAAGAAGAAGCTGAGGAAGAGACCTGGCAGAGGGCAGAGAGAAAGAGGCAGATGTGGAGCACTGTCTCAAAACACATAAATGAGTGGGAACTCTGCACTAGGAGGCTAAGACAGGAGGATCACCAAGAGTTCAAGGTCAGCCTGGGCTACATGGTAAGACCTTATCTCAAAAAAAAAAAAAAAAAATCAAAGACATGAGTAAACCCAGAATTCCCACTGCTGCAAAGCCTCCCAGGCAGCCCAGAGCGGAGCTCTCTGCCTTTCTCTTTCGTGGTCCAGGGACAGAACCCAGGGCCTTGTGCTTGCTAGGCAAGGGCTCCACCCTGGAGCTATCCAGTTGCCCTCTTTTGTTTGCTGTTTTTGAGACAGGCTCTCACTCTGTAGCCCAGGCTGGCTTGAACTTAGGCAATCTCTGCCACAGCATCAGGACTGCAGGGCTCACAGGCCTGTCGCTGCACTGAGCATATCCATGTTTTTTTGTTTGGAGTCTCTCTTGCTAAATTGCCATACGCTGGCTTTCAACTTGCAACTCTACTGCATCAGCCTCCCAAATCACTTGCATTCCAAGTATGTGCCACCACACCCGGCTCCTCGGCCCTCTTGTTCCTGGGTCACTGCACATCCTCATCGGCATGCCCATAGCTGCAATGCTGTGCTGAAATAGCCGGTCGATTTTGGGGTCCAGGGACCTGGGCAGGGCAGGCCACAACTGGCCATGCCGTGGTGTGCAGTTAAGCTTAGTGGCCCCCAAGACAAGTCCTTGGATGTGGGAGCTCTGAGGAGCTGGGTGGGGCACAGTGCACAGCGTCAGGCAGAAGAGCCCCCTCTGTACCTCTTGCCGCAGGCCAGTTCACCCTGTCCCAACTTCCTCACTCACTGAACAATGGGTTCATGAAACACCCACTGTGCAGGGTCATCCTATGATGAGCTGAGCCCTCCCTGTGCACCTCCCTTCTGGAGGATGGCCAGGGGTGAGTGCCCCGCGCTGTCCCCCCTGGCGCTGGCAAAGCCCGGTCCCTGTCTTCCTCTTTGTTCTTTTCAGCAGCTGGAGTTCTGAAGGCAACCAGATGTGGTATGGAGCCGGGAGCCTGGAGCTGGGGGCTGGGGGAGGGCGGCAGAGCGCTGCAGGATGGGGAGGGGATGGATCCCAGGACACTGCTAGGGGACAGGGGTTCCTAGGAACCCCCAGGCCCCTGGAAAGGCCTGGGGTGCATGGGACACACTTTCCCAGGTGAACCCTGGCAGGCAGAGGTGACTGGGACAGTTGCCACAGCAACGTCACCCTGGAAACCTGAGATCGGGGCCTCAGCTAGGATGCCCGGATGCCTGAGCTCTGCCAAGCATCCTGGGCAGTGGAGTGACAGGCAGGGCATAAGGTGGGCAGAGGCCACCCTGGCCCAGAGCAGCGGCTCCCTGGCTGAGGGTGCCCAAGCTTCTGCTACCCAGATGTGGCCCTGGCTGCATGGATACCAGCGTGTCACATGTGGGCCTCAGGATTGTCCCTGCCACCAAGCCAGCACTCCCAGCCCTTCTGACCTGTGTGAGTGAGATAGGGGTTGGGCAATGGGCTTGAATTGTCCCCTGAGGGGCCTTCTGCCTCTCCCTGGAGGGCTGAGCCCAATGCAGAAGCCTCAGGACAGAGGCAGATGTCTTTGGGTGACGGATGACAGGTGGTGGCACCCCGGCCCTGGATAGTCAGCACCAGGTGAGCAGGATTGGGGAGGGAGGGACTCAAACACACAACCCTGCCCCCTATAGCCACCCCAGTACCTTGTCAGCAGCGGGGACTACAGGCGGGGTCAGGATGCTGGCAGGGGACTCGGGTCGCTTCTTGTGCTTCTGTTTAAGGCGTTCTTTGTCCTTCCGACTCTGGGGAGGGAGGGAGAGATGACCATGTCCTTCTGAGGAGGGTCCAGGACTCTCGCCAGACTGGAGCAGCTCATTATGCTCTTCCGAGAGCCAAGGGCCCCTTCCCTCATTCTCCCTGCCAGCTAAAAATAGCCTGTCCCATTACTGGCTGGTGAGATGGTGTCCACACCTTCAAGAACATCTATGAGGGGCTGGGACACTGGGACACAGGACCAGAGGGGACATGATCCTGCCCTGGGGGAGATGCAGAAGAGCAGGTCTCATGGCCCCTTCCAGGACTTCCCATCTTACCTCCTCGGCACCCCCTGCCCCGAAGTGGCATGGCAGGAAGGAAAGGAACCAGCTCCAGGGCTGGGGACACCTCAGGGCCTCTGAAGAGTGCTCACCTTCTTGGGCGCCCGCTCGTGGTGGGCAGGGTGCTTCTCCTGCTGGGCGGAGGGGGAGGCTGACCGGCTCCTCCTGCCAGCCACGAAGCCACTGCTGCCTCCCCCTGTGCTACCTCCACCGCTGCCACCACTGCCACCGCCACCACTGCTGCTGCTGCTGCTGCTGCTGCCTCCACCACCTCCACTGCCACCGCCTGCTCCCGCTCCCGCTCCGCCACTGTGCCGGGATGTCTTCTGGGGGGAGATTTGGAAGCAACTGCCCACCCCTCCTTTCACTGCACTAGGAACAGCAACTAATGGTCCTGCCATTGCCGGGGGGTGGCCCCATCTGCCCAGCCCGGACCTCACAGCTCTGTTCTACCTGCAAAGCTGCAGATCCTGCAGCTTCTCTGCAGCCTTTTGTTTTTTTTTTGGTGGTGGTGTTTCCAGACAGGGTCTTGCTATGCGGCCCAGGCTGGCCTCGAACTCAGTGATCTCCTTCTGCCTCAGCCTCCAAAATGGCACTGGAATGCCAGACATGCACTATGACACCCGGTCCTGCCCTGCTTTATCCTGTGTTAGGTTCAATGACTGAGACCTGGAAGAGTCTCAGGGCCCCGTTTTCACACCCACCCTCTCCTGGAAACTTCTGGCCCTCCTGGGCTCTCTGAGCAGCCCATTGCTGCCTGCTTTCCTCAGGTAGAAGATGCACAGGTACCTTCATGGGCACTCCCCATCATCACCCTGGCCACCATCCCTTCCCTCCACACAAAGGCTGCTTCACACAATGGTGCACACCTGTAATCCCAGCTCTCAGGAGGCTGAGGCAGGAGGATTGCTGAGAGTTTGAGGTCCTCCTAGGCTACACAGTGAGCTCAAGGTCTGCTTGAACTGCATAAGGAGACCTTGTCTCAAAATAACAAAAACCCGAATAGCCCACAACTGCTTTGAGGCTCCTTCCAGCCAGGCAGCTGGCCCCTCCCTTCACCCCAACTGACTCCACTCCTGCCTGGCCAGGCCCGAAGCTGCCGCTCTCAGGTTGCCAGCTCGCTCCTCACTGCCAAACCCTTGGGCTAATTTCAGGCCTCGTCCACCCCACCCGCTCCCCTGCCTGGCTCCAGACCCTCTCTCTCCATGGCTTCCTCTGCCCTGCCCTGGGGGCTCCAGCTCACCCTGCCTTCGTGTATGCCTCTCCTCAATCTCTCTAGCTCCCCTGGCACCTGCTGCAAACCTCACTCAGTTCCACACCTCACCCCGAGTCCCCGCCAGCCCTGGCCCAGTGACTGTATACTCGTGGCCAATTACGGTAAAGAGAGGGAGGCTATTAACCTTGATCCCGAAGCAACAGGCACCAGCAGAGCCAGCAGGGCCAGCCGGAATGTGGGTGCAGGCCACAGAAGCTGAGGTGCCCCTCACCATGGCACTCCTCAGGGTATATAGCCTAGGCCCTCTAGATCCCCTGGCCTCCCACCTGTCTACCCAGAGCAGCCCAGCACCCAGCCTTAGCCACCCTGGCCAGCTGCCTCACTGCTGCCCGCTTTGGCTTTACACCAGGCCTCCCAGCAAGCCGCCAGGATAGGCTCTTTAAAAGACAAATCCCATCACAGCAGAGTGTTACAGCTCTGGGGCTTGTGCTCCCCCCCCACACACACACACACACACGCCGGGCAAGGGATAGTGCCCTAAGGGGGCGGGAGTCACCGTATGCTCCTCCGCCACCCCAGGCATCTCAGACTGTCCAGGCCACTCCTGTGTACAAGCCTGGCTCTCCCCAAGGCCCAAACAGCTTTCCAAGCAAACAGCCTGCTCCAAAGCCCACAGGCAGCCATGTACTAGATAACGAAAGCTTGGGAGCCTCAGTTAACCAGCTGGGTCAAAACACGAACCAACAAAACCACCACCACCAAAACTGTGGTAGAGACCAGGGCAGGGTAGATGCTGGACGCCGCATAGATGGGTATGTCAGACTCATTTCCAGCTGCCTGCAACTTGAGGTTGCGATGGGCCAGGTGTGACCGATGATACCCAGGCTAGGTTGCCAAGCCCAGGCCCTCCCACCACCCCGCCAGGCCCGGCCCTCACCATCTTGCTGAAGTGGTGCTTGCAGTAGCCGCAGTACTTGACATTGTCTACCTCCAGCACCTCTTCCTCGCACAGCAGGCCTGCCATCTGGGCGCTAGCCGAGGGGAAAAGCCACAGCGGTCAGGGACTCAGGGACAGTGGGGTGGCGGGACCAGAGCAGCCTCCACCTTGACTCCTCCTCCTTCACCCGCAGCAGCCCAGGGCACAGTCCTGGGTGGGGATGGCTCTCACCAGGTGACGTGAAAGGCCTGCCGGCAGCCGTGGCGGTTACAGGTCATGCAGGCTCCCGAGGCCGCCTTGCTCTCCCGGCCCTGCTCCTCGCAGATGTAGCAGGTCTGCAGGACACGGCGTGAGGGCTCTGTCTCCCAGAGCCCCTCCTGCCTGCCGTGGGACCGGGGGCTCCCTCTGGAGTCTCCATCCTCCCCCATCCCCAGTGGGTGTCTGCTCTGTCCAAGACAGGAGACTAGTGTTCTAGGGGCTGCTGGGCCCTTTCGAGGAGGGAGACTGTGTTCTCAGCTGTACTGAGTCCTAGCAAATTTCCACTGCCACTCCTGGCCAGGGGCTGCCGTACTGGACAGCATGGTCCTCATTGGGCCATGAAGGTTAGCAACTGTGGCTGGCTTGCTGCCGGTGCCCAGGAGCTCATCCCACTCTGTGCCACTGTGTGTTCCACCTCTCCTGTCTAGGACCAGAGATCTGGGACCCCTCACCCTCAAAGCTGCCTCTGCCCAGCACTCTGCTTCCTGGGCCTCACTGTCTAGCTGAAGACCAAGCTCCACAGCTGAGCACCCATTTGTGTGCACCAGAAAAACCCACCAGCAGAATACTCAGCACATGGCCACCTGATCTAAAGGAAGCTCCCCCCAGGAATTCCTTCCTTCCACACTTTATTTCCTTCACAGGCTTATGCCACTGTGTTTACTTCCCGAGCTGTTTATTGGTTTTACACTCTCCTCACACAAAAAACCGAGTTCTACTGCCAAGCAGCACACCTGTGTTTTTTTTGTTATGAGACAGGGTCTTGCAGAGTCATGAAATTGTGCTGACTGGGAACTAACTTGGGATCCTTCTGCCTCGGCCTCCCAAAGTGCTGGGAAGACAGGTGTGCATCACTGCACCTGGCCTTTATCACTGCACAACACAGTGCGCTGGGGTCTTGCCCCAGATGACGCACAGGAAATGACAGAGTCGTTTGAAAGACCACAGGCATGACCAGCTACAAAGCACCTTCCAGCCCCACTTCTGGATGGCAGCCTACCAATGCCAGGACCACCAGGCACCTGTCCACTGCAGGAGTTCCCTGGAGGTGGCTATTGGACAGAATCAAGTTCCACTGGCCAGAGGGATGCAGGGATTCTCTAACGGGAAGGGGCCCGTGGCTGCTGACCTTGTTGAAGCGGTCATGGGGCACGTACTGCAGCACGATGGGCTCCATGGTGAGCACGTTGGCGAACTGCACCTCAGGGATGTAAAGGGCACACACCACGTGCGCCCAGCCTGGGGCGGTGCAGGGCTGGCCTCAGTGGACAGACAGATGGACATGCCCAACCTTGCCACACCCCCCTCCAGCAGCTTCCCACGGGTTCCAGTGCCAGTCTCAAGGTACCTGGGGACCCCTCCAGCCCTGCCTCCCGGCCTTGCCCCTCACCTCCATTGTCGGTCCTTTTCAACGCCCCGTCTTTGTGCGGGCACAGCTCACACCTCTGTCAAGGCAAGGCACACAGGGATGGGGATGTATGGGGTCGGGGGGGCTCCCCCCACTCAAAGGACCCCAGATGAAATGATGGGGCCCGAGGCTGGGAGCTCAGGAAGACTGAGAGGTGACAGAACCCGATTTGGGGTCCCTCTACTTTAGCAGCTTTGAAAACTTTTCATAATAAAAAAGTTCAAACATAAAAACCACATTCGCCAGGCGGGAGGATGCTGAGATGGGGCTGGTGATAGGTGAGCAGCAGCAGGAAGTCTCAGGCTGGGAGGGTGACAGAGCCCAGCCACCCCCACCCCCCCCACCCCCGTCCCTGTCCCACCCTGCAGGAGCCGCTCAGGTGAATGGGGGAGGGGAGCTGCTTGGCACTCACCACCCTGGCTGCTCTCTCCTGAGATTCACACTTCCGGCAGAACCAGGGTCCCGTTGGCACCTGGACGATGCCATAGCAAGCTAGGGGTGGGGGAGGAGTCGGGAGCAAAGCTGTCAGCCAGCGCCTTTTCCCAGAGGAACTGGGGGAAGGGAGGGAGTCTAAAGGACTAGAGCTAGGGATGCTTGTGATCTCAGCCTCCTGAGTGTAACACCAGCACTCAGGAGGCTGAGACAGGAGGATCACCAAGTTCAAGACCAGCCTGGACTATTCATACACAGAGTTTAAAGCCAGCCTGAGATACACAACGAGACTCTGGTTCAAAAAAAAAAAAATGCACAAATTAAAGGTTTAGAGCCAGCTCCAGCAAGGGCTGGGGGGTGCTCCCCATCTGCTATGTAACACAGCAGGATCTCTAGGAACGCCCAACAGCCAAAGGCCGGCCCCTAAAACACAACTACAACTCAACTCCAAACCTGGCGGGAACTCTGAGTCCTTGACCTTAAACTTCTACAAGATCCTCCCCACGCCCTTTCTGGACCCGGATCCCGCTCCCGCCCCCGGGCAGTCTCCCCGGCTCCCAAAGCCATCAGGAAGGAGAAACACCACTTGTCAACGTCAAACACGTTTTGTTGTTATGGGGGGGGCACCTCTTAAAGGGCCAGTGAGGGACCGGGCAGGGAAGTCGGGGTCCAGAGACCTCCCGTTCTGTCTCTCAACTATCACAGGTGCAGGTCAAAAGTCAAGCACCGGGGCAGGTGCGAGTGCAGGTCCCCGAGAGGCGTGTGGCGGGAAGAGCAGGCGGCCACCACTTTAAGGGCTGTCCCGGAAAGGGGGAGCACCGCTGGCCGTGCCAGGCAGGCGGGAGATGCCAGCCTGCGCCCTGGGCAAGATTCCTCAAGGAGTTAACTCCGAGCCATGTGCTGCCGGGGGAAACTCCGCGCCTCCGCCCCGCGCTCCGGCCCCCCGCGCGCCCGCGCCCGGTCCCCGGCTCCTCCCTGGAGGGCGCCCGGAGTCCTTGCTCCCCGGGGACTCCCTCCTCCCTCCCCAGTGCGCTCCTCCCAGCCTCCGGAAGCGCGGGGGGATGACCCCCCCTTGACCTCTTCCTCCCGGAGCCGGGACCAAAATAACCGGGCGGGAGGGGACGCCGCGCAGGTAAACATCGTCCCGACACCCGCGGCGCGGGCGCAGGGAGTTAGCCGCCCGCTCCCCGGACTCTCCCCAAACTCCCTCAACTTGGGGTGGGGGGCGCGGGGCGGGAACAATAGGCGAGAAAACAATGCCTGACCCGGTCTGGCAGGACCCGGCGGGGGGAGCCCCGCGCCGCGCCACTGGCCAGGTGTGGGGGAGGGGCGCGCGCCCCGGGAAGCTCGGGAGGGCGCGGCCGGGGCGCCCGGCGCGCGCGCCCACCCCGGGGCCCCGTACCTTGGTGGACGGCCACGCTGCACGCGTGCCCATCGCAGTAGACCAGCGGGTTCTCGGCCCAGCCCCTCTCGTCCGAGCACACGCAGCAGCCTCCTACCATCTCCTTCATGCTCCCATGAACTCGCTCCGGGGCCGGGGCCGGGGCCGGGGCGCGGGGCCGGGCGGCGGGGCGCGGGGGTCGCGGCGGCGGGGGGCAGCGGGGGCCGCGCGCCGCCTCGCCCCCTCCTCCGCCGCCGCCGCCGCGTCTTTTCTTTGCCTCCGCCTCCTTCCTCCTCCTCCTCCGCCCCCTCCGCCCCGGCGGCCTCCTCCTCCGCCGCCGCCGCCGCCGCGCTCGCTCGCTCGGGCCGCCCCCCCCGCCGCGCGCTCGCCCTCATGCCCCGCCGGGCGCCCCAACAATGAGCCCGCGCGCCGGCCGCTCCCGCACCCCGCGCCGGCTCCCGGGCCCGCCGCGCAGCCGGGCCGGCGGGGGAGGCGCCGAGTGGCACCTCGCGGGCGCCCGCCCGCCCGCCCGCTGCCGCCTCCGCCGCCGCCCCCCCTGCTCACGCGCCGCCCCCCCGGCCCCCCTGCCCGGCCGCGGCAGCCATGGCCGCGCGCCCCCGCGCCCCGCGCGCGCCCGCCGCCGGGTAAAGTCTTAGGTTCAGGGAACAAAGCCGGCTGGGTAGGGCGCTTTCCGCCGCGGCGCTCGCGGCTTTCGGGCTTCGACCTCTGCGCGCCGGCCCTCCCGCTGTTTGTATCCCTCGGCCTCGCTCTCCCGGGGGCTCTCTCCCTAGCTTTCGCCCACGCCCGCCGGGTCGTCGTCCCTGAGTCGGTTTTACAGCCGCGGAGAAATTTAAGGGTGATGATGAGGGGCACCAAAAAAAGACCAGGAGCGACGTAGACAGCGAGCCCTGGCGCGTCCTGGGGCGCCGATCGGTGGCCGCCCCAGGACCGCAGGCACTGTGCTGTGATTCGTTCGACGCTAGTTTATTGAGCGTTTAGTACGTGCCGGCGGCCTGGAACGTGGGGAGCAGAGCGGAGCTTTGTGCCCTCTAGGTGTTCCCCGTCCAGGTCCCCGCGCGCGCGCCCGTCCTAGGGCTCCGCACCCGCAGAGACTGAACGGCCCCTCCCCGACCCCACTCCGCCCCCCATCCTGGCGTTTAAGAGACGGCGACCGTGGTGATGCGCGGAACCCGGGCCAACCTTGACCTCTAGGCGCGCCCACGGGGTACCCACACCGCTGGCCGAAGGATTAGAACCCCTGAAATGGGTCTGGGATTACAGGCGTGGGAGGGGGTCCTTTCGAAGGTTTCTGGTCCAAGGCCAGCGTGGGCGGGGACAAGATTGACCGCCTCCACAGACTCCTAAAGGGGGGTCGGCGCCCGCGGGGACCAAAGGTCACCTCCTCCCCAGCTGGAGGTGGGGTGGTGGAGGGGAAAAGGCGTCCCTGGGGGCTTCGGTCACACTTCAAAGCCCCGGCGGCCCGGAGCGCTTCCGGGGGGCGGAGCTGGGGGGGCCGAAGGCTGCTGGGCTGGGGCGCTCTCCTCCCGCGCGCTGCCCCCCGACCGACTCTTCCGCCGGGTCCGCCTCCTTTTCACCAGCACCTGTTCAACCGGAACATCAAGGGGCCAGGCCGGCACTCCCCTCCGCGGCGCTTTAGTGCCTTTCATCCAGGAAGGGGGGCGAGTCCCGGCCCAGGAGGGGGGACCGGGCGGGGGAGAACTTGTCCTTGACCTGGTCTGCGGCGTCAAGGATTTAATCCCTTAATCCCGGCGAGGCAGGAGGCGCAGGAAAAGGTCTGGGAAGCCGCGATCCGGTTTGCAGCTCCCGCTCCCTCGCTGCGCTCGCTCCTGCGTGGACGCGGGCAATCCCGGAGGGCTGCCGGGATGAAGAGCCGCGGGCTACACGGGCTCTGGGACTCTGCGCCTGGGAAAGGCTGCGAGAGCCAAGAGACAGTCTAACCAGCGGCTGCCGATGGACCCGGACTCTGGACACCCCGTTTTGGGTCGGTTTGTGTGAACTGCGCTCCTACAGAAAGTTAAGCACCGAAGTGCCGGAGTGACTAAGGCCGAGCCATTCATTTGTAATAGCAAAGAGAAGACCAGCGAGGAGAACGCCGAGCCGTCATCCCCAGGGCCGTGCCGGTTCCAGAATCGTTAAACGTCCTCTTTCCTTTGGGACCCACCGCTATCAAGGTGCAGGCAATCTCCGGGTTCGCAGGATGGGGCACTCAGTGGCTCCCTTCGTCCCTCCGCCCAATGTGACCTGGGCAGCCTTGGCCTTGGACCATCCCAGGACCCGCTGTGTCCCGCAGCCTGTGCGATGGACGAGACCTGCGCGTTTAGCGGTTTAGGGAGATTGCTTCCTTTAATCCTCCCCAGCCTTCTGGGGTGACATTACTCCCATATCACGGGTGGCGCAGGAGAAGTCCCCACAGATTAAGTGATTTAGACCAGCCGATAAGCCGGGCAGCGGCAGTATTGAACCTACTGCATCCGCTGCTAGGTGGGGGCTCTGCCTCCACGCGCCGCTCCAGTGCCTGGGCGGAGCTGGGGCTCCGTGCCCGCCCTCAGGGGTTTCCACCCATCTGGGCACCCGCTGACTGTCCAGGGCTGAGCTGGTGCGCATTTCTCATACCCATCGCCCACCATGTACAGGGCCATAAAACACCTTGCAGGACGCAGCCAGGCGTGACGGAAAGCGCCCATAATCCAGACGCACGGGAGGCTGAAGCAGGAGGCTCACCCGGGAGTTCGAGTCCAGCGTGAGCGCCACATAATGAGTTCAAAGCCAACTCGAGCCACAGCCCCACGACAGTTTTATAATACAAAACAAAAAAGGCAGAAGCAGGGTCAACAAGTGGTCTGAGTCCATCTTGTCAGGTCAAGAATTTGGGGTGCGGCGCACATCTTGGCTGTGCAACTTCATCTCTCATAGGCTCCGCTGGCCCTGGGAAGTGGGGCGTGCACACCCTCCAGGGGAGACCGCGGGGGAGACCGAACGAAAGCCCTCGCTGTAGCGTGGAGACGCACTATGTACGCTCAGCCGGGCCGGCCCGCCCCGCCTTCCAAGCGCGCCCGGCCGCGCGCTCCCGCTTCCCGCCTCCGGTACCCGCTGGTCCAGCGCGTCCCGCGGCAAAGGGACTGGGGCAGCCACAAGCAAACAAAAAATTATTTCCTACCGTTCGCCCCGCCCCGTCCCGCCCCGCCCCGCCCCGCCCGTCCCCGGAGCCAGAAGGGGATTATGGGGCCGCCGGGCGGGCGGAAGCGCGCGGCGTTGATGCTCGGGCCCGACCGCGCCGGACTGGGCTGCGCGCTGCGGGCCGAGGCTGCCGGGGTCTGCGGGCGGGACGGTCCCGGGCCGCTGCGCGCGTTTCCGCGAAGTCCCGCCGGCCGGTTCCCGGAACCGCGCGGGGGAGGCCTCAGGGTGCGGCGCTTTCGCCTCTGCAAGCCGGCTGCACGTTTAGTTTTGCCAGGTCCCGAGGACAGGGGAAGCGACCTCTACCCGTGCTCCTCTGTCCCTGGCGCGCGCGTTTGGATTCCCTTTGGGCTACCTTGTACGTCTTATTAATACCGGCCCCCGCAAAGCCTCTGACCTTGAGGCGCTCCCCGGAGGGGTTAAACTCCTTCCTGGGATACCCCAGCTGGTAGAAGGCTTCCAGTGGGAGGGCCAGTGTGATGTACTAGGACACAGGCTGCCTGTTATGACTGCGCTTGGGAGGCTGAAGCAGGCGGATCACTGCGAGTGATCCTGAATTACATAATAAGACCCCATCTCCAAAAACCAATAAAAAGAAAGAAAATGGGAGTGGGGCGGGGGTGCGCCAGAATCAGACAGGTTCCAGTCCCAGTTCTGTCACTTCCTGGGCTGTGACAGTGACTTACTGGAACTCTCGGTTTCCCCAGCTATCGACTTCGTGCCGACTCAGGGTTGATGGGAGCGATTTGCCCACTGAGTACCCGGTACAAGGCAGGGTGATTTCCCCGGAAAGGTTACCGTGCGGATGGGAACGCAGGGTGGGTGGGCTGGTTCTTTCCACAGTGCTACGCCCTGAGCGAGAAGCAGGGAGCCTGATGCAAAGAGGAACTGGGGGACGGAGGGGACTCCCCGGTGACAGCAGGAGGCCTTGCCTGCGCTTGTGGGAGTTCTAGCTTTTCACAGATTTAACAGGAAGAGCAGCGCCTAGTTTCAGCTCCTGCCTCTGCCATTAGCAAACGGCCTTGACTTACCAAACAGTAAGATGGGGATGGATAATGGAGTCCCCTCCTGCCCCTTGCTTTGGCAACTGTAGCCAGCGAGGTCTCAGAGGGAGCTTTAAGAGCTTTTTGAGCAGCAGGATGTGGCGGTGCACACCTGTCATCACAGCACTCGGCAGGCTGAGGCAAGAGGATCCCTGAGAGTGTGAGTGAAGAGTGAATCCAAATCCAAGTACAGTAGTTGCCTGGACCTTGGGGCAGCTGGGCCTTTCTCTAGGGAAGACATTTGCAGGATGACCCAGCCATGGGGTGTGGTCTGTATGAATGGAATTATTATTATGGCAAATGTGCACCAATAGAAAATGTTAAAAATCTAAAGAGGAGGATTGGGAGCCCTCAGCACCCACCCTGCCTTACCAGTAACCAGCTCCCAGCCTTGACTCTGGCTAGCTGTGTGACCTCGGGTAAACTTCCTTCTGATAACTGGCTGGGTAACAGATCTCAAAAGCCCCTTGGAGTGCCACGGTGTAGGGAAGTTTCAGGCTGGGGTAACAGATGACTGACTCACACTCACCGGCCCCAGTGCTTTTGGCCAGTTCTGCCTCAGGTCTGCCCTTGGCCCGGGCTGTGGCATTCGGTCTTTCTGGAAAGACTTCACTGAGTCATAGGTGGGCACAGGTGGTGCAGAGAGCAATGGGGCTGGTGGGGTGACAGACATAGAGAAGTAACTCCCACCCAGGAGCTGGGTGTGGTTGGCACAGGCTAGGGATCCCAGCACTTAGGAGGCTGAGGCAGGAGGGTTGCTGTGAGTTAAAGGACAGTCTGGGCTACACAGTGAGATCATGTCTCAAGGGAAAAAAAATGAAGTATGTTTCCATTATGACAGAGTGACACTGCCAGGAAGGAAGTAACTATGTACAGAGTTAGGGAGGAAAACTGCAGGGTCAGAGGCCCAGAATCAGGAATGGCTGGTCTGTGTGTGCTCA